AATTAAAATAATCAGCCTAAACTGTCTGTTTGGTTCATACACATTTTCAAAGTGACTTTTTTTAGCTTGACTAATTTTAATCAAAGTCATTACAATTTGCCAGAAATTAAATTTATCTTTTTTCATGTTTGACAGTTTTATTATATAATTTTTTATTTTGGCCTTGTTTAGAACTTAGAACGTATATCAACATTCAGTAATTATGGTTATTATGTAGTTTTTTATTTATTTTTTTTTAATTCACAATTTAATTTAGGTATAATAAATAAATGAATATGGCACATGTGCTAAAATGTAGTGACTAATTCAGAAATAGTGACAGTGTTAATCTTGTAAACAGGCAAAGAAATGTATTTTAAAACAATTATAAGTACATTACATATTTATTATTACTGATGATAGATAACTGGTAAGTTTATACAGCATGCCAAATTTTTTTGTAGACACAAAGAAGTTATGCGGAATATAAATTCCGTTACCTAGTAATAAAAAAATATCTGATAAAACAACTAACAAAAAATGTAGTAAAATATATAATAAATTAAATAAAAATGACAGTTTTTTCCACTAGTTTTAGGTCTGTTCATGAATAATGATTATTCATGTTTTAATTTATTACTGCACAACTTCATCCATAAATACGGTTTATGTCTTCCCATTGGTTTATTATCTTGTCCCATAAATTGTTGTGTTAATACGATAATAATACTGTTGTACAGAGGTCTTCAATTGTTACTTTTCAAAAATGTGATCTCTGTCATCATTTGCATTTTCTGCAATGTTCTGTTGAATTATTTGATGGAATGCCATTGCTCCCTTCCAGCAAACCCATAAATTGAATAATCTAAAAATTAACTAGAACTATCTTCACTTTTAAACAACTCTCTATAAAGAGAGTTTTTATAGATGATTTTTTTAGGGATTTGTGTTGCAGGTGTTTTAAAATGACTATTCAACTTGGCTGCAGTGAATTGTTGTGTTCCACTCTACCAGACGATCATTGTACTAAGTTTAGTCGCTGGATGTTTTTTGTAATGTGTGTCTTGATTTATGTGAGCGCTCAGCATCGGCCTAAAGCCCAATAAAGTCTAAGTCTTTTGTTTGTCAATTTACATCCAAGTTTACCTTAGTCAGTCCGAGACTAACATGAATAATGTTAACCTACCATTTAAAAAAATAGTTAATAATTTAAAATATGAAATTAAATTGAATTTATTGTATATGTTTAATTTTCACTACTACAAACTCTTATTATACACACCAGCAATATTGTAACGTTTTTTAATCGGTGGCCATTTTATAAATTATTTACAATCATAAATAAAAGAAAATTGTGGTACTAGCATAAATCTTATGGATTGCTTAAATTTATTCTTATTCATGTTATATACTTAAATGAACCTGATTAGACTCAGCCATAATTACATGAATTTGTTAATAAACAAAAATCAGCTAAAATGTCAGATATTTTTACAACTGTTATTTGATAAATCAACAAATGTAGTGTTTGTTTTGTGGACTTATTTATCTTGAACTTTATCAAGTTGTAAAGAGTGACCTGAAACTTCCTGTGCTATCTATTAGTGCACCCAACAACACAAGTTCTCTCATGTATAAAAATTTATCTTTTACTACTTTTACATATTTTTATTTTACATTTGCTTCAATATCCATTTTTTTCTTTTTTTTTATTTATTTTTTTACAAGTGTATTTCAACTACAATTTCAATCCCGGGGTGGGGGGGGGGCTGGAGTTTTTGAAAAAAGTCCATTTGTATGTCAGGTTCGAATGCAGGACTGCTGGATTTGAACCCAGGGCCTTTATCTTAAAGTGATGAGCACTGCGCCAAAAGCTTAAACCATTGCAGCAACCAACAACTCCCCCCACATTATCTATTATTAAAAATAAATTTTAAATAGTTTCTAGAACAGGTAAATAAATATTTCATTTATAAGCCATTTTAAGCTACTGTATATTGTGTGCGAAAGCATAGCAGTAAATTTTTAACACTACTACGTCAAAAGTACCCTTTTTGCTTATCATTCATTATATTAAACAAAAATAATTGTGATATTTGTAATATTCATGTTATTTACATTTTTCGAACATTTCAACTTATAGTTATTCAGATATCGATTAACGGTCACTAATCTCTACACATTTCAACTTATGATATTTTCTCTTAGTTCCTTTGGGTGATGAATAGGAAAAATATTACGTCATACTTTCAGTTCAGCTTGATAATCTGGACGCACAATCGTTCTCTGACTAATGGGCTTGCACAAAAGTATTATAAAACATTTTGAGCAAGCAACTATATGGCAGTTTTATTTTGGACCAACAGGAAGCTTTTGATAGTGTTTGGCATAAAGGTCTTGTATATAAACTGGGCACACTATATGTGCTGGAACATTTGGTAAATATAATATTTACAATTTAAATCCATGGAATAACCTCCCCTGTGACGACCACTATAATTATGTAGTCCCTCAAAGAATGGTACTTGGCCCAATTCTATATAACATATATATCTGACAAGTAACATATACCTGTTTTTTTTTTTTCTAGCATGAAAACTAGGACAACTGTGTTACACAGTTGTAAAGGCAATGGATGAAATAACATCACAGACATGGCTAGGTAGAACATAAAATTAAACACCAGTATATATGAGGCCATGATATTCAGATATTCATCCAAAAAAGCACTGACTAGGATAAAATATCTTGTAATGTGGTCTTGTCATTTAGAGAAATCATGGTAAAAATACATTCAATCAAATGCTTTACTAAAGTTTGTGTTTCCTGCGTATGTACTACTACAATATTTTTTGTGTTAATGAAAGTGTTTTCTCAAAAATTACATGTGTTTATTAATTGGTTTTTGTTTTTAATAATTTGGCCCATCTTAGTACTTTGATTGTATCTTGATTTGCATATTAGGTCTTCACCTATTTACAACCATAACCATAATAACCATAATACGTTTTTTTTTTTTTTTTTGTGACTGCTACAGTGCCCTGCAAACCATTAAAAGTTATAATGTCGAAAAAACCATAGTTAACAGGGTGTGGGAGACACTGTATGAACTATACTTAAGGGGAATTTCCATTTCCTTTGTATGGATTCCAAGTCACATAGGAATAAAAAACAACGAACGGGCAGACGTTGCCGCTAAAACAGCCCTGCGCTTACCTGAGTCTGAGCCGCCCGTGTGTGCAAAGGATCTCGTTTCAACCTTCAGAAGAGAGATATTAAAAAAATGGGAATCTGATTGGATGAATATTGGAGACAACAAACTAAAAAAGATAAAAGACAGCATTCACCCCAGGGAAACTTCCTATCAAACGAATAGGAGGGAAGAGGTTATCATCTGCCGACTCAGAATTGGACACACAAGAATAACACACGGGTTCTTGATGGAAGATACTGACCTTCCTTTCTGCCTATGTGGTGAACGCCTAACCATTGAACACGTCTTGTCCCCCCCAAGGAACTGCCAACAGTTTTACACATCTTCCTTACACCTCCCACTTAAACAACTCCTACAGGATAAGCAGCAAATGGTTGACAAAGTCATCGGGTATCTTAAAAAATAAAACTATACAACTATATATAACAATAACACTACATTAACACACAAATAACATAAGCAACAAAATTCGGCTGGCTGTACGCGCTCCCCAGAACTGACACACATACGAATCCATATACACACACTCACACACCACTGTACTTACACTATTTACAAGTTTTTCACTTGATATTCCTCCATCACCCTCTACATTCTACACATAAATAACTAACCTAATTGATCGTCAATTGGGTACTGAATATTCAACAATCGGTCTCTCCCAATACCCTTTCACACTAATAAATACATACTCGCTTCGACTGCACATATACTAAAATAAACGGGATTTTAGAGACTACATTTTAACGTGTTATCTGATTTTAAAGGTCATGTTAAATTAAAAGATGTATAATAAAAGCTTTTTTCTCTAAAATAGCATTTGTTTATTTAATAATTTAATAAATTATTTTTTATATAATCTGACCCGTCTCAGTACTTGTGTCTTGATCGCCATGTCAGGTTTTCAATTATTTACTCGTTTTTCACTCAGGGTGGTGCAGTACTTCCTGTTTCTCCATCACCCTCCACACAGATAAAACTAACCTAATTGAGGTTCGATAGGGTACTCAAAATTCAACGATCGATCTCTCACAGTACCCATTCACGCTAATAAATACATACATATTCGCTTCAGCTGCACATATACTACAATAAACGAGATTTTTGTGAGTTTATTTTAACTGTTGCTTCTGTTTTTGAAGATATGATGGAAACAGCCTTAACAATAGATCAGCAATACCAAAACTTGTAAATTAGAAATAATAAAAGAAAAATGTACTTTATCGAATGCTTTACTTAAGTTTGTGCACATTGCCTATGCATTATTAATACATTTATTATGTTGCAAAAAGTGTTTTCCTCTAAAATAGCATGTGTTTATTGAATAAATTATTTTTTAAGAAATTTAACCTGTCTGAGTATGTACTTCAATTGCGTCATTCATGACCATGTTGGGTCTTCAACTTCTCAATCTTTTTCTTCCACGTCAGATGAAATTGTTTCATAGAATACTATTTGTCAAAATAAAGTAAAAATAGAAGTCGAACTTTTTTTTAAATAAAGTAGGAATAATCAAAGTTAAGTTAAGCACTTTACGACTTTACGTTAAAGATAGTTCAAATGTTGAGTTCGATTATCCATCGATAGCAACTTGTTGCGAAATCGCGATAAAAGAGTTTTTATGACTTTGCGTTTTTATTGGATCAACATAATATAATAATAATTAAACGATTACCTTTTGAAATTTGACATTAATTCAGGTAAATTTGAGAATGAAAATAGAAATGGAATTGTTTTTAATAATCACGTGACCAGCGCTCGGCCAATGGCGTCATAACTTTACGTGGCAAGAACCACGGGCCGGGCCTTTTCCCAAAGACGTCCGCCATATTGGCTCCGCGATATCCGACCCGTGAAGCTGTCATTATTTATTGTTGTAATAAGTTTAAGTGATTTCTATTAAAAGTAAGTCCAATTTGATTAATTAACAGTTTTCCGTTTTTGTTGTTGTTGTGCATGAAGGTTTTCCCGGCGGACTTTTCCACTCCCGGCCCTCCGTCCGGCATTCTCAGGGAGGAGTCCTTGATAAACGATTCCGGCCTCACTTTTGTACGTCTAAATAGCGACAACTCGGAACCACGTCTCGATTTACGATTTACACTTTGGTAATTTTGTTTATTCAACGGTTGGTCTATTCTACAATGTTCCGCTTTTCCTTTCTCACCAGGGGAAAAGAAATGTCGGCTAAAAGTGGCCGATTTTCACGAAGGAAACTGGTGAAAACTCAACTGGCATTCCGACAGACTCTTCTAATACAAATTCCGCATATACAACCTATTGTTTTAGTCAAAAATAATTTTACATTCAGTACAATTTTTTTAAACAAAATTACTCGGATTTTATAGGTTTTTAACCCCGAACAATTTTTTTTCTCTAAAAAACCCCGATTCGGTGTTTTGTCATACCCACCTAGGTTTTCCTGGTACTAAGGTAATGTCCGACACGCGGTACCACTTTGACTTTATGAATAATTTTGATTCACCGCCTTATAAGTACAATACGATATGTTAATTAAGCTCTAAACAGAAATCTACAAACTTTTATACAAATTATTACATCTAACATCTACTTCTTTACTGTCAAATCGAACATTGTATTACATACATATAGAGAGAGAAAAGGTGCCATTTTTTGGTTAGTTTAGTACCTGATATTACAATTATAAGTAATATCAGTTTGTTTTCATCATAAGTTTTAATTTGAACCATAGTTCACCAAATTTCTTTACTTTGGTTTCTAATCAGTTGGATCTGTATATCAGTGTTTCAGCTTTTTGCCATATTTGTTAGGTCTGTATCATATTGGTCTGTCAGACACGTTTTTCTACCTTTTACATATTATCCAATATGGTTATTACTACTACTCGATTTAAAAGTTGATTTCTCATTGTTAATCGAAGACGTTAATGGTTCTTTCTTGGTCATCACTGTGATCTATCAAGTCTAACCAGGTTCATATGGAAGGGGCCAATTACATATAATGAAATGTTAAAACAATATTATTATTACTTACAGATTTAGGGTTTGGATATTATTTGTACTTTGGTTGTTTCTGAATGTTTTGGTTTGCCCATCTATGGAAATTCGACAATTGAAAGGCTCACACATCCAACAGGCCAAATGATCAGAAACAACCAAATTGCACGATCATCACCACACCCCTTGGGGAAATATCAAAATGATCTCATTCATACAAACTTTTCACAGGACATAATTATGTGTACCACTGGTTAACGTAGTTATAATGACAAGGAAGTTTTTAGATGTTATTTGGTCATTTCAGAACGTTCTGGTTTGCTAACCCTTGCTACTTTAGTTTTTCTGTCTTCGAAAGTTTGGGGGGGGGGAGATCGACAAACAAAAGGCTCAAACTTTCTAACAGACCAAAATGGTCGGAAACAACCAAATTGCACGATGGCCGCCACAAAGACCCCATGGGGAAATCTCAAAATGATAAATTTTTTGCTGGTCAAAATTTTTGTTTACCACCGGTTAACGTAGTTTTAATGATGAGGATTTATTTAGATATTATTTATAATTTGGTCATATCTGGAATTCTGATTGGCTTACCTTCGCTCTTTTAATTTGTCTTTCAGAAGTGGGTGGTTCGACCAATGAAATGTTCAAATTCATCTTAACACACCAAAACAGCAAGCTGAACTCATCAAAATAACCAGAAACGACCAAATTTCATAATCTCATCTCATAATTAACATTCCTACAAAATTTTCATAAATCATAAATTAGTTTACATTCATTTTTCGCTATAAAATTCATATAAATGATTAAACAATAATGGCAATGACTTACACTGACAATGATTAAACATTGCAAACAAGTTCTGCAGTGTTATAAACTTTTATGTCTTATAATTTTGGCCGGTCTCCTCTCAATCTTTGGTTTGTCTTATTGCTATTATTTTTTTATTAGTGCTTGTCACATTCTAATTCACCAGTGATGATGGTATCAGGCTAAAATGAAGAATGAAAGACCACAATGATCAGAAATTACTAAATTTCATTTGAAAAATCTCAAAATTATCTCATTCCTTCAAACTTTTCACGAGTCATAAAACTGTTGTCTAAACTGCTAATAAAACCTGACCCTTTTACATTATTATAATTACAGAGGATTTATTTACTATATAAATCTATAAACAGAGATTTCCTCTTAAGTTCGGTAGTATTGGGTTGTCCGGAAAATAATGCAGGATTTTAAGTTTTCATTAAAAAAAATCTATATAAAATATTCTGTTTACGTTTACAGGATTACTCATTTGTATGAANGTATGGGAAATTATTTTGATTAAAGAACATTGCTTTAAAGTAACTAGTTTCTTTTTTTTTGTTTAATACCAAAATCCTGCATTATTTTCCGGACAACCCAATAGATGTAATGTATAAGTTGGTTTGGTCAGTTGTGATCATTTTGGCCTGTCAGTCTCTTATTGACCTTCATTTTATTTTTTAATGGTTTTCATCCACAAACCTCTCACTGATGATGGCGACAGGTCGATACAGTAAGGGAGGGCAGATTATTGTTCAAATGGTTTAAAATTTTCAAATTTACAATATTAAAAGATTATGGTCAAGAATGCAATTTATCTGTATGCTTCAGCCTTTGTCTTCTCTCTTCAGAGGTTTAACTTGTTAACTTGTCTACAGGCCAGGATGTACAAGTTCATCGTGCAGATCTCACCCCACAATATTCGTGTGTGATGAAGTTTTCCAATCATTTTGACCTGTTTTAGCTGTATTATCATGGATACAATTTGTATGTGGTTTGGCCTTCTCAAATCCTCCTGATCAGCCTATCCTGACCAAAATGGCAAATATAGGCAGTTCAAAATATTAGTAAACGACCAGACTTCAGGAAATATATAAAGCTGTGATTTAAAAAGTAAATAACAATTTGATTTGGGTTTAAAAGTACAATTTAACCAATAAATTACCCCTACAATGATGATTTGTAGAACGTATTGTAGCAGGTATGGTAATCCCCTTTCTGCATTATACAGTACATGAGTGAGTCATAAATCAAAAATAAAGTACAATTTGCAAAAACTTTTGTCTGTCATTCATTTCTATTATATAGTTTCAATTTATATATTGAAGTTAATATCTTTTTAAATTTATGGCAAAGTAAAATATTACTATAGGAAAGATATTTATTTGAGCAGTTTGTCATAGTGTGTGCTCTCTCTCGTTTGGCCTGACATATATAAATAATTTTATTCACTAGATGAAAACTAATTGATATCGGCGTTTTTCCAGTTTTAATTATACCTAATCAAGATGGGGAACATGATGGCCAACCTTTTCAAAGGCCTTTTTGGCAAAAAAGAAATGAGGATTTTAATGGTAGGCCTGGATGCTGCTGGTAAAACAACAATATTATATAAATTGAAATTAGGAGAAATAGTTACAACTATTCCCACTATTGGTAAGTCAATTCAGTAAAAACGTGACAACCCTGAAATGTAAACTTTTATTCTATATTATTTTTTTATTTCTAGGTTTTAATGTTGAGACTGTCGAATACAAGAACATAAGTTTTACAGTCTGGGATGTTGGTGGCCAAGATAAAATCAGGCCTTTATGGCGACATTACTTTCAAAACACTCAAGTTGGTACCACTTGCTTTTAGAAAGTCGACTTTTCAAATTCTTTTGTGTCTATTTTTGTAAGTGTGGTGTTATTTTTTCCAGGGGCTTATTTTTGTCGTAGATAGTAATGATAGGGAACGTATTGGAGAAGCAAGAGAAGAGCTCATGAGAATGCTTGCAGAAGATGAACTCAGGGATGCAGTACTTCTTATATTTGCTAATAAACAAGTGAGTAATTTAATTTAAACAGTCAACATACGGTCAACATTTATAAGTTAAATATTGATATTAAATGTTTGACCAAAAGTTAACCCTACGTTATCAAAAAAATATTTACAATATTTAATGTGAATGTCAAATTCAGATGAAATTCTCACTTTCATTACTAATAAAATCTAGTCATAATTTCATAATAAATCATGATTATATAATAACAAGTAGATTAAAATTTAACTTTAATTTATTATGTGTAGAGATTAGTGACCGTTAATCGATAGTTATTCAGATATCGTGAGATGCGGTCGGGTGTGATGTAGGTTTCAGAAAAACATTTTCTTTATTGTGCCAACTTTCGATCCTTTATTGAGATCATCTTCAGGGCCTGGGATTTACAAACAATGTTTACATTTAACAAATACATTTAGGATGTGGATAAGTGAATTTATACAATGCAAAATATATTTTATATTCAAACAAAGTATTAATCATTTAATTTATTACCACATCGAGTAAATAATTGACCAGATTCCATGCTTCAACAAGATTGGTTTGAAGCTGATCAACACTTGCTGGAGGCGGCAAATGATGTTTGACCCCCTCTTTGCCATGTCCCATAAGGGTTCTATAAGAGACTTGTCAGGAGAACGTGCTGGCTGATTCAGTGTGTTCATCCTCCAAGTCATGGTGACAACTCTAGCACTGTCACACATTAACATGAAGTTGTCCCCAATAAATGGAGCGAATGGGTCTTCAGCTTTCAGAAAAACTTCCTCATTGTACCTTAGTGCAGTAAAAGATCCATTCTATATGATAATCATTCGGTAAATGGGTTCACGGACGTTGATGTTTGGAGTTGACTACCTGCCAAGCAAGCCTTTAAATAATAGTGCGGCAAGAGCAATAAAACAATCGTGCCTTGTACATGGTCGTTCACTGCCTTCTCTTTGATTGAGTCTTCCGATGGCCCTAAACTGCTGTAGACTATCGAGAATAGTAGAGGAACAGCACACCCAGGCAAATTTTCTGTTTTTTTATTTATTTTTGGGTTTAATTTTATTTGTAAGTTACTTCTATTCTCTCTTTCTTTTTTCTTAATTTCTTCCTCATTTATTTTTTTACAATACAATTTAAATTGATGTAACTGCATCGTGCTTTTATATCGATTTATTGGCTTAAAACCGTGCTTTTGAAAAAAAAATTGATAATTAATGTTTTATTCAAATTTGTTTCATCAAAGAAAACAATTTTAAAAACCAAATAACTTACTTGACAATTTGGCTCTAGAAAAGTTGAAACTGAACCTTTTTTTGTCAAGAGTGTTAAAGGATTACTAACACTGTAAACTAGTTGGTTGTTTTTTTTTTTTTTTTTTTTTTCTTCTTTTTTTTCCCATACTGAGTTTGTATCTAATATTTTCTCAGTTACTCCTGTTGTTAAATAATAACAATAATATGTTATTATGTTTACCATTATTTCATCATTTATAGTTTAGTCATTAACTGATCATGGGGGCGTCGGTGGCTGCAACGTTTTAGGCGTTGACATGGCGCACTGTAAGGTAAAGGTCCCAGGTTCGAATCCAGCGACCCTGCATTCGAACCCGACATACTTACAAATGGGCTCTTTTTCATAAACACCGGCACCCTGAGGGTTTATATGACCTCTGCTGTTGCGAACCCTCGTTTAAAAAAAAAAAAATTAGCTGATCATCCTGCTGGCCAGCATATCCTTGCTAGTTTTAATGATGAAAGGCAAGCAACCTCCAAGGCTCATAATCTGCCTTGAACAGAAATATGTTTAGGAGAACCACGGGCCAGCAAGAGGGCCAACATGACCAAGCAAGGCTCGCCATACCCGCAGCAGCCTCAGCCAACACCCCCATTCATGCCTCATCTTCTAAATTTTAGAGAGTAGACCAGCCATCCTTAAGAAATTGAAAAGTTTTTCTATGCTGTGTTCATCATCTGACAAAATCTGTCCCCAACTACCCGAAACACCACATGCACTCCTTTCTGGCTTAAATTGAATTCAGACAGTAAGAATATGACTGTTAGCCGTTCCTGACAACCTTTACAGTTGTCGGTGGAGGTTCCCTCATGAGAAAACCATGTGTGAGTCTGCGATGACCTATTCGGAGGCTTGCTAGGACTGTTTCTTCCTTACAGGAGGTTCGAGTAGCAGTGGACCATTGTTTTACATCATCCTTAAAGCGGGAATCACGCTTACTCGATACCCCGTTTTGGTAGGGTGCGTACATCTACTCGACGTCAAGCACCATGTACAATCACACAGCGAGTATCACAATCGCAACACCTCTTTTCTTCTTAATGCACTATTTTGAGCAAAACCTTGTAATAAATTGTTAGTTAAATTTTATAAGCACAACCATGTAATACAGTGTTAGTTAAATTTAATTGTTTTAAATAAAGTTATTCCGGTATATTGATAAATTTTTGATCTTGTTCAATTTGGTTTACAATAAAATAAGCATGTCATAATATATGTAACGACAAAATTACATATACATAGTTGGAAATAAACTACAAAAAATATGAGTGTCCGGTTCTAACACGCTACTCAAAAAAAAAAAAAAAAATGGTGTAATTTTATGAGCAAAACCATGTAATAAATTATTGGTTAAATTTTATGAGCAAATCCATGAAATAAATTGTTAGTTAAATTTTATGATCAAAATCATGTAATAAATTTTAGTCCAACTTTTTTAGCAAATCTGTGCAATAAATTGTTAGTTAAATTCATTCTATCAATAAATGGTTTTCCGGTATTTTGATCAATTTTCTGTCAAATCATTAAAATTAATTTTTTAAATAAATATAATGAATTCTTAATTTGGTTTATATTAAAATAAGTGTGTTGTGAATAATATAACGACAATACTACATATAGTTTGAAATCAAAATATAAGTGTCCGGTTCTTTTGTCTTCGTCTGTACTCGATGCTACTCGACAAAAATCTGGACAGTGGGGATCACATAGCATTGAATAGGGTAGCCTACGTTGCATGGCATCGGGCAGATGTGCACAGGGGTTATACAATCTTAGGAAAAATTGGACTTTGGATTTGCGTCGGGTAGCATCAGGTAGCATTGCATCGGGTAAGTGTGTTCCTTCCCTGCTTAATTCTCTCAGCTTGTTAAGCATCATTTCACCATCTCTCGCTGGTTTGATCTGTCAACAATAATCTTTCAATTCCATATGTTTCAATATTAATTCCATTCAGCTGAATGGTAGTCCGTCTGTCCACTGTCCAACTTTCAGTTTATGATTAATTTTATGATATTTAATAAAAATTAAATTAAATAGTTTAATTAAACAATGACAGAATTAGAACAATTTGTTTGTATTTTTTTATTTGTTTGGAATCTCTTTATGAACCATAGTATAAAATTAGTTGAAAACAAATTTGAAATGTGTAAATCTTACTTGAAGACTGACAAAAAATTTATTCCATGTTTAAATTTTAATTTAAATGAATAACTAGACAATGTTAGCATCTTTTTTTTTTTTTTTTCAGAATCCATTTTTGAACCATAGGATGGTTTTTCTTTAATTTTAGCAGTCGATTCAAATTTCTCAAATTCCATTGTATTACAGGATTTACCAAATGCTATGAACGCAGCCGAGATCACTGATAAACTAGGCCTGCACTCCTTACGCAACCGCAACTGGTACATCCAAGCAACATGCGCAACAAGTGGGGATGGACTGTACGAGGGGCTAGATTGGCTGTCGACCCAGCTGAAAAATGCAAACCGCTAGTATATGAAGGCAGCAAGTCACCGCTAACATCATCAACTCATCAATTAAGAATATAAAAAAAAATTCATCTTCATCATCATCGTTTCATCCGCAGCGAGATGGATGGAAGCTGGTGGTGGGGGGTGACCATTGGGGGTTTATCACCCTCACCCCCTCCCTCCTAAAACCCTCCCATTCTTCAAATTATAAAATAATTTCTTTGTTATGAAACAAAAAATGAAAATTAAATTTAAAAAAAATACAACATTGAACAATTAAAAATATATAATTCAGTTGCAGAGTCTTCACAGTTGGACTTTGAACTATTAATTTTGTCTTTAAAGAAAAAATAAAGTTATACTAAATTGAAGAAAATTTAAACATTAAAGTGAAGTGCGGTGAAATTTCCCTTCGCATCAAAATTCAACAGATCTAACATTCCTCAAGATTGTCTTTTTGATTATATTTTATTTATAATGAATGTTTGAACTCATGGAAATATATTGCGCTTGAGTGACTGTATAAATTATTTTTTACCCATTTAAGTACTCAACCTTCACTATGTTTATTATTATAATTTTTTTAAATTAAATAAATGTTTTTTCTTTTGCATAATTGTAGTATCTATCTGTAGTTATCACATAAGTGGTTTCATGTATCAACTTTGCTTCTTTTTTCTTTTGGATTATGAAAATTATAAAAACACAAATAAAGGGACTTTTTCACACCTTATTAATGTAAAGGGAAATAATGATGACTGTAAGCCGAAAGGCCAAACATACTGATCCTAATTTTTCCTTTTCTTATTTTTTAATTTAAAATGCATTTCTTGAAAAATATTCTAGATGAAACAGAGGGTCAAGCTCACTTCTGCTAGCACTTCTCAAAAATATATTACATAAATGTCTTTTACTGGTGGACACCAGCAAACGTTAATTTATAATGAGGGACTTAAGTATGTGAAGTAAAAAGGCAGATGGTTAACATCCTTTTCTTATATGACAACGAACATGTAATATTTTTTGATCAAGCAACAGTCTATATTCTTTTGCTACATATGTAAAAAACATTGCTTTAGAACTTAGGTCAGCCATACCCAGTGCTTAAGTCCCTTGAAATGTTTTTCACCATGTAATATGTTTTCATTTTTAAAATATAGTATGTGAAATTATTTTTTAGAAATTTTTATTTTACTATGTTTTTCTTTTTTTACATTTTAATCCTTTGTTTATTTTCTATTTTTAATGTGTTATTAAATAAACAGTTTTTTATGACCACTTACTGCCATGCCGTATTTTCTATCTGGATCTAGTGTAATACAAATTCTTTTTTTCTTGTCTTTGAATTCAGTTCAAAATTGGTACCCATTCGACATAGTGCTCACTAGTTAACTGCTTTTGTTTCAGAGAGCAATTTTTTAAATTTATATTTATTCTTTCCCAAAATGTTTATAAATATTACACCATTAAGTTAGCAAATTTTTAGGATTCGAGATAAAATGAAGGAATAATGTAACACTGCACAAAAACAAAACAGAAATGATACAAATATTATAGTATTAAAATAAATACTGGATAAATTACTAAATAATAAATAAATTATTAATAAAACTTGTTTGTGTTGTATGCGGGGTGATGAACCTGAAATTTGATCGTTACAGGTTGTCTGCCTACTCAGCATCTTCAGTGTTGGGCAAAGATCGCGAAATGTCGAACACTGACAGACCAACTGTACAAGGATAGGCAGACCAAATGATCAGTAACAACCAAATTTCAAAATCTTGTTTATAACAAATTAAACTTGTCAATTGTTAATGTTTGCTATATGTTAATAAATCCAATACTCACTCAAATCCAACACTCATCTTTGTAAAACAGTATAAATTTACTCTGTTAAACTTATATTTTTTATATTCGCATAAAATCAATATTAATCATTGATACGATAAATAACAACTAATTATATTAAATCATGTAAAAATTATTTTATTTTTGATCTAAATGAGTCAGAATGGGAAAGAACGTGATAAAAAAAAACAATTAGAAACAATTTGTATTTATGTTGTTTTTACAAAGTTAACAAAAATAGTGCTTATTTTACAATATGTGCACTCATACAAGTAAGTCTTCTACTCGTGTTTAGATTTGACGGGCTCATCTTTATAATGGAGAAAAACTATAGAGAATATAAATACACCAAACATCATTGAGAATGCACTAGCATAGTATGGATATGCACTAGCGATAAATCTTTCGTACTGCGTATGCTCCAAGGGCCTCACAGATACCTAGAAAAAAGTATTTTTATAACGGAGTTTTCAATGAATCACAGATGCAATAAGCCCACCTGAGTCGAACTGTACAAGCTGGTATAGCCTACTCGTAAATAATTGACTTTAAACTGATAGACGCCGTAAACATCTGGAATTTTGAAGACAGCTTCATACGCGCCGGGTTTCTTCCTGATAAGTTTCGTCCTTACGAACGGGTCAATCCTCACGAACTCTAATTGGATATCGTTGGCGTCGTGGGGCACCCAACCTTGCGGGGTTTTTCTTTCGACTTCCAATTCGTAAACAACTGTTTCCATGATCGTATATGAAGGAGGAGGGCTGCTTTCATCTAATTTGTGATGGGCTACAGATTTCACTCGTAATACACCGTTTTCTTTCAACACCCATTTGCTCAGAGCAGTAGCGACTTGCTGATTTCCAGACACCTCGTATTTCTTGCCTCCCTATCAAACAAACATATATACGATTAGTAAATATGTACAAAAAAAGAAAAAATACACATTACGCCATACATGTATCGCTTGGTGGGTTGGAATCCCACTCGTGACACTGACTTTTTTATCTCAACTTAAAACCTTAAATAATTGAATGATATCAATTGGTCAAGCAGACCACGAAAAATAGTGAATTTAATGAATTAAAATGAAGTATACTTAACTAAAGCTCTCCGTGGCCATTTCATTTGTCACCGAGAATCAAATAGATTACACGACATTTGAAAAATGGCAAAAAGGAGGGAAAATTCAAAAAAGGTGGGGTTGAGATGGGAAGTTAGTGCCCGAGGGGATCGAAGTCACGATAGCTCAAGTGGTAGAGTAGCGGCGTATCAAGCCAAAGGTCGTGGGTTCGAATCCCGCTCGTCACACTGACTTTTTTATCTCAACTTAAAACCTTAAATGATTGAGTGATATTAATTGGTCAAGAGGACCACGAAAAATAGTGAACTTCTTAAATAAAATTAACCTTTACAAAAAATAAAATTTAAAAGGAAAAGAATTTTTTCCTTTTACAAAAATAAAACAGCAGGCACTAAACATGGTCTAATAATAAACGGTAAATGGCCAAATCTGCAGTGAAAGTTTTTCTACATAAACTTAATGAGAAGATTAGCACAAACAAAGAATGTATTATGGATTTAAATCTGAACTGCTATGGCAGAATATTTAGTACAATCGACCCTACAGTACAGGGTAATTGGGGTAGATCAAATACTCTATTGTTCTTAACTAAATGACATGTATGAAGAATGAATTGAAGATTGAGTATGAATGTATGTTTAGAAAAAAAAGAAGGGCTGAAATGATTTACCTGTTGACAGCCTTAACTTCGGTGGGCCCGAATCCCCAAGAACACTGGAATGGTGGAAGGCTCATGACTAGAGCCCGTATGCAATTGTATTTTGTTTTGACTAACACTTATAACCATGGTTTCTAAGATATTTATCTGAATCATACTTCTATGGTGCAATGGTTCACATTTTATTCTGCATATTTGAAGGATATTGCACATTTGAAAAAAATATTTACTTGTATAGTGCATGTTTTTCAGTCAAAATATATTTTATAGTTCGCCCAGGCACTGAAGCTGACCCGAATAAAGGTCAAAACATTGGCAAAAAATGAAAAAGGTGTTTTTATAAATTTCATTCCTGACCACTCTCACCACTTCAACAAATTATTAAAAAAAATATTGCAAATTTGAAACATTTTTGCTCACTTAAAAAAGTAAAAATTAATTAGGCAACTAAGAACATTAGAGGAAAAAACAAGTGTCTAAAATTTGAATCAGATTGCAGTTAACGACTAACACAATATAATTCTCTTGAAATGATCGGCAAATTATCTGAGGCTCCCCATTTCCAAAACTTCTGGGTTGTTTTTTTGCCTTTTTGAAAAATTAATTTTTATGACATAGGTTGTGGAAAGAGGGGCTATTTGAAACCCAAAAATAATCAGTGTTAATCCTCTTTTGTATTTTCAACCTAGTAAACCTAAAACAAATGCCAAAAATGTTAACTTCAACTTTTTTTTAAATAGCAAACTGGATTTTTACCAAAGCAAGAGATTAAAAAACATACTTGATAAAAATACCAGATCGATGGAATTGGGGAAAATCAATGAAATCTTAAATGGAAAAAATTAAACCGTTATACACGGAATCAACTATAAAGTTATTTTAAGTTCTTACAAATATGCTCACATCACCTCTGTTAACGTTGAAAAGTTTTTTCAAAGTACATACGTTTAAAAAAATAAAAATAATTTAGTTATATTATTAGTCAGGTGATGTCTCTCACATTCATCCTGCGTTTTTAATAGTTTTAGTACAAAATTATATCACATTTGAGGGGTTTTTTAGTGTATATTTGAGGTTTTAATAGTGCATACTTTATGGGATATTTGAGGATTTTTATTACATATAAATTCCAGCTCTACTCATAAAAAACCTTGAGAAGTCTAATAATTACTTTCATTTTAGAGAATTGTGTCAGTTATAGAGTTCACAAAGTGATAAATCTACTACTGAAGATGGCCGATATAATGATGATATGTTTTATTTGATCAAGCAGTTAGGTCTCTGACCTTTCTAGTACTTAACATGGAAATAATAAAGCTGACATAAATCAGACAAAATCTGGCTGGAATGAGCTGACCAAGAATGTCAAACACAATAAACAAACTAAAATTTAAAAGTTTAAGCATTGTCTATTTTGTGAGATGTTCATGGGGTCTGAGAGTTAATGAACCTGTTTGGCAAATCATTTTTTGTTTGATGAATCTCAACAACGAGGATGAAACTGAAATAACAAATAACCAAACTACATGTTTATTACCTTTTAGATCTCAAGAAAAACTCTAACTTATAATAAATTAAAAATAGCCAAACTGCAAGTTCATCACTCTTCAGAAATGTTGATTACATGTGTCGGTCTGTAAGTTGGAGATGCATTTTGAACTGGCACTGGCTCACTGGGTACATAACTCACTGGAATTATGATGTTACATATATCGGCTTAATGCCATCTTCAGTAACATGGAGAGAAGAGAAGTTCAGGCTCCAAGCTGAGATGTGTAACATCAAAAAACTCATGAGTGTAGACGAACCCAGTGCGGTTCTGGGTCTCACCAAGAATAAAGTTTTAGTTAGATTATTAAATTTATGTAATTAAACTGAAAAAAATTATAATTTGCAAGTAGATAAGCTGAGGGAAGCAGACCAATTGTCTAGTTTTCTTATCAATCCTGTATTTTCAGTTTATTTATTTGTAAGTAAAACTATTTAAGATTGCAGGCCATTGGAAATCTCTATATGTTGTTCAATGTTTACAGGTTTATAAGGAACATAAAATATGATCATTACTTACATGTTTTTGGACTGGAGAGGTAAATGCTTCATCGCTGAAAAAGTGAAGTGAACCAGAAAACACAACTCTCGCATTGTTTCTGGCTTGTAGAGCGGCGATTAGAAGTGTATTTTTTCCCACAGCATGTGGATAATCTTTTATGGGCTGATCAGGAATATACGTATATGCAGTGCTTGATGCAGTCAGCAGCTGTAGAACTAGAGGATTGTCAGAGTCTGCAATAAGCCCTGTCCCTTCGTAGAGCATGGGGGGGATATTTTTGTTGCCAACAATTACCGGAGCATCAATCAAATTTTCAGGATCGGCTACGATCAGTGTATGCTGAAAAATCGTGTTGATAAATTACAATGGAATGTTCACAATGTGGGCATTGCTTACAGATCCCGTGTCAGAAGAGTCGTAGTTTATATGGTCAATAACCGCCGAACCTTCTTCATCGATTTCAAAGCCACATTCAGATGCTATTTCCCTTAGAATGTCTCCAGACATTGAACTACCGGCCACAATGACGTTGCCCCCGCCGTCAATAAATTCGGTGATTGTTTCAACATTAAGTGTTCCTCCAAACTCTTCGACTGACGGGGCAAAAAGTATCAGGTGGTCATATAGAAATTCCCCATATCTTGACAAAACTAATGCCGGGTCATCGGCTAACTTAAATGTTAAACTGTATCCTCGATCTAAAATTTAAAATAATTACAATAATTTTTTTATATTAGAAAATGTAAGGTAGCAAATTTTAAAAATATTGTTTTACTCGTTCATTTAAACAGACGGTGATACAATTACTTATTTATTCTAATGTTTTATTTATAAAATACAATCAAATAAAATAATATTTAATTTATATTTTATGATACACACAAAAACAATACATTTTTTTATTATTATTATTAATTTTTAAGGGCGTTTTAACGGCTAAGGTCATTTCACGCCCTAACATCTTATTATTATTATTATTATTATTATTATTATTATTAATTTTTAAGGGCGTTTTAACGGCTAAGGTCATTTCACGCCCTAACATCCAAACCTTCTATCTTAGGTTAGCTATATCTCTTCTGAATGCTATAAAGCTCTGACTCCAAACATTCACTCGTAATCTAATTTATCCTATTGCCATCCAAGCTTTAATTTTTCTTTAAAAATTCTTAATTCGGAAGCCAAATGTATACAAAATTTCCATTTTAAATTGCATAAAATTTAATAAAATTATAAAATTTATTTCTGTTTCTTTTTTTATTATTGTTATTTTATTTTATTCATTTTTTATACCTAAATAGCTAAAAATGAAGGCTTCTTTCAGCAAGTTCTATATATTCTTTTTCTTTTAATACAATCAAATTTCCCTCATAACTGGATAATTTCACTTTCTCCAACATTATTCCATTTACTTTATAAAGAAAAGCACTAATAAACTGATACAAAAACTCACTTAGATTTTTTTGTATAACAACTGGGGATTCACAAATGACAGAAGACTTGCATGTTATTCACATACGGTAATGTTTTAAAAGCAGTGATGATATAAATTATTCAAAAGACTATTTGACCACAGATAAAACTCTCACTACAAAACAAACGTCACATCACACATGATTACTACTACAACCAATCTGAAAACATGGAAGCAAACTGTGGAGTTTAACCAAGCCGTCCAACTTCAAATAGTCAATATTTTGAGACATTTCCTCCCAACTTCCTACTTCGTACCATGCCACTATAAAACTCTAGACCCTCATCCCAACCCCCCAGTCCAACATTTTTCATCCCAAACACTTCTCCACAATCCTATTAAGATGCCGAAGACACTAACGGTCATGCGGTTCCCCCCTAGTGAGGAAAGTGAATGGTCCTGTGATAGGAGTGTAATTAATGGATTAAAAAAGGATAAAAACAACCGTTTCCTCCATGACCAGAATAGATGGCCTAGATGCTCATTACCAGGCTCAAGCACAATTTTCATATCGGGTGGCATTCCTATGCACTCTCTGTATGGAGTTAAGGATGACCCTTCAAGTAGGTGGGACACACTGCAAAAGTAAAGCGGCCCATAAACGATCAATATTATTGCACAATATTTTGGGTTGTGCAATTTAATTGATCGTGTGTAGACGATATTGAAAGTTTGTGCAATACATTGCATGATTGACGAAAAGTTGAAAATATATTGTACAACCTGGAAAATTTTGCACAGTCTGTTGGCATTATTGCGCAATATCAGACAGTGTGTTGAGTATCAATAAGTGGAAAATATTGCACAAACTTCAATATCGCCTTCAAACTATTCAAGTTCATAGCACCAACAAAATTTTGTACAATATTATGGAATGTTAAGGGGCAACCGTCAAATTATTGTGCAATCTATATTGTACAATAATATTGACCGTCTATGGGCCGCTTTAGTGTCCAAGTAGTGTCAACCTAGCATGGCCTATTCTTAATCGGGTGAGTAAACTATGAAGAACCCCACACAAGTTAAATTGTATTAAGTCAATACAAACAGTATAAAAATTAAGTTTCATTGATTAATTAACAGCAAACTCAGAAAAGTTTTATCAATGTACATCTTGAACTGATTGATATGAGTACTAATGTAGAAGAGTCGAGGCTTACCTTTGAGGGATTTAAAAAATAAAGAATGTGTTTCTTTGATGGCCAAATTATCTAAAAGCACCAGAGTTTCATTTTCACCCAGGACGGTGGAAACGTAGTGGAAAAGGGCAAAATAGGTAAAAATCAAACACCGGCTATTCATTTCGACTGCCAACGAGGAGGTACAAACAACGACGTGACATCCAGCGGCAGCCTTTTGCGTGAACCGGCGACAGATCGAAACGGTTCCCGACACTGGCGCCGTTGCTCACGAGTTCCGAGTGGAGCAGCTATGAGTGGTGCACTACCTCAAAAAAGGACAAAATGAATCATCTAGTAGAATATTAAATTTAATTTATCTTCTCGAAGAAAATTGGAGCTTTTTGGACGAGTTTATTTATTTACAGGCAGTTAAAACAACCAAATTACAAACATTCCTTCTCACTTTTTTTATATTTATTTTTATATTTCATTTCCTTTTTATTTGTTCGTATATTTTTGTTGTTTAATTAATTTTTATCATTCCTTCTCATTTCCTTTAAATTTATTTATATATTTTGTTGTTTAATTAAATATTTATCATTTCTTTATTTTTGTTTATATTTCTGTTGTTTAATTAAATTTTTATGATTCCTTCTCATTTCTTTTATATTCGTTTAAATTTCTGTTGTTTAATTAAATTTTCATCATTACTTCACACTTCCTTTATATTTGTTTATATATTTCTGTTGCTTAATTAAATATTTATCATTTCTTTATTTTTGTTTATATTCCTGTTGTTTAATTAAATTTTTATCATTTCTTCTCATTTCCTTTATATTTGTTTATATATTTCTGTTGTTTGATTACGTTTTTATCATTCCTTCTCGCTTCTTTTATATTTGTATATATTTCTGTTACTTAATTAAATAGTTATCATTTCTTTATTTTTGTTTATATCCCTGTTGTTTAATTAAATTTTTATCATTTCTTCTCATTTCCTTTATATTTGTTTATATATTTCTGTTGTTTGATTACGTTTTTATCATTCCTCTCATTTCCTTCCTCTCATATATTAATTTATATATTTCTATCGTTTAATTGTTTTTATCATTCCTTCTCACTTCCTTTATATTTGTTTATATATTTCTGTTGTTTAATTAAATTTTAATTATTCCTTCTCGCTTCATTCATATTTGTTTATATATTTATGTTGTTTAATTAAATTTTAATTATTCCTTCTCGCTTCTTTCCTATTTGTTTATATATTTATGTTGTTTAATTACACTTTTCACATACCTTTATTTTTGTTTATACTTCTGCTGTTTAATTATGTTTTTATCATTCCTTCTCATTTCTTTTATATTTGTTTATATATTTCTGTAAATTAAGTGTTTATCATTCCTTCTCATTTTTTTATTTTTGTTTAAATTTCTTTTGTTTAATTAATTTTATGATTCCTTCTCATTTCCTTTAAGTTGATTTATAAATTGCTTTTATTTAATTATATTTTTATCATTCCTTCTTACTTCTTTTATATTTTTTGTACACGTGTATTATGACATAATACTAACAATATTTTATTTGTGTTTAGTATGTTGAATATGTACATATTTTTAATAAATTTTAAATGTATATTATTATTATTTGTTTCAATTATTAATTATTACTTACAGCTTAAACTCTTATAAAACTTATAACTGGGTATATTTACCCATATAAATAAATAGATAATATATTGTAAATAAATTTTCACATATATAAAAAAATCATATATATTTATGCACTTTTTATTATACAAAGACGTAAATTTTTAATTGCATGTCAGAGATCATATTTAAGATTATTCAGAGATAAATTAAATAATATTGATCAACAATGGGAAGTTAGCACTGTCTATTAGTCTAGGTATGCTGGAGGTATAATTCTTCATGGTTTTTATTTATTTTATTTTTTAATTATTTATTTTAAAGATACAATTATGGCTTTAAGCCCCCTTACATGTAGATATATTAGAAATAAATTTAGTTTTATAAACATCGTAAAATAATGATAATTACTGCGTTTATTTATTTATTTTATGGGCAACGCCTATTAAAATTATACAATAGTTGTAAATATACTTAGAAGAGCTAATATAGGGATTCATTACAAAACATAAATAGTTAATTCAAGAAACAACTGGATTAACATTACAATACAGTCACCAATAATTGAAGAATGAATTATTAAATAAAGCATAGTTGTAAATATATGCTTTTAACATAATTGATGAAATACAAAAAACAATGAAAAAGATAATTATTAATAATATACAAGCTCTAGCATAATATCATTATTTGATTGTAAATATTAAACAAAAAGGGCTATGTTAACAAAATAATAATGAGGCATACATAAAAGGGATATGAAAATAGTACATAAACTGATCTAAACATTTATATATTGCCTGCAGAAATTAATTAATTTTAAAAAATGCTAATATTATCTTGGTATGAGAGGTATAACCAAGCATTACCATTTACAGTCCTGAAATGCCGAAGAAAAGTAAGATATAAGATGTAGGTGGGACTGTAGGATGAGCTGAAGAGAGGTACTAGGTGGGCATTTCTTGGACAGATAAATGAAAAAAGTATGAATCCAAAATTGACCCTTGGGGCACCCCAGATATAATCTTGAAAGGTGAAATGAAGGATGAGGGTAAGAAAGAATTACAGATATAAAGTCAAACTTTTTAAAGAAAAGAACTAATCAATGACTATGACCAAATAAGCAATTTTTTGTCATAATTTAACTAATCTTAGATTATCCTTCGAAAGGTGTTTATAATACAAGTAAATACAGGCCATATAAAGTAATAAAAAATATATGATAGGAATAAATAAATAAATAAATAAGAAAAAAATAATAAATAAAATAGAATAAATAAGCGATCCAGTCTTCATTAGCTTTATCGACTGTTATCGATTGATCAGGTTATGTTGAGCGATCTGTGTGTTAAGATTCGTCGTGATACAGCAAAATGACATACACCGCTTTTGAGGTAATAATTAAAAGATTTTAAGACATACATTTTCAAATTACAAGCAATTGCATTCATATTAACAAAATGAAAAAACTACTGTTTTCAAGAAATTTACATAAAACTGGCAGAGTAAGTTTGCTTTTATATCAGATGGGTTATAAACAACTCAAAAATTATTTTCCTTTCTTTTTTTGGCTTTTATTAGATGTAGAATTAAGAGTTTTATGCTTTAGTCAAATATAGTTGTTAGATTAATTTAAAAAAAGCCATGTTTCGAGCGTTAGCTTGGGTTTTTGAATATTTCCTGACTAGATTACAAATTCAGGGTTATGCGACAAATATCGCAGCCCTCCAGGTTCAGCCGTCACCTTCCTGGAAGAACAAGGTCAAAGTACGGCTACCAAAACTCGCACTCGTAGTTATTAATTGAATTCTAATGTTTGTAGCAAATGGAGGTAGATGAAAAGGCCTCAAAGGGAGAAGGGTTCAAACCGTACTACATAACAAAAATAGAGGAGCTGCAGTTAATCGTCGCTGAAAAAAGCCAGAATCTGCGCCGGTTGCAGGCTCAGCGAAATGAACTTAACGCTAAAGGTATTGATTATGCTTCTTAATTTCTACACAAGTAAGGAAAAAGATCCTAACTACTTTTATATTTTTAAACCAGTTCGAATGCTCAGGGAGGAACTGCAGCTCCTTCAAGAACAGGGTTCCTATGTGGGCGAAGTAGTAAAACCTATGGATAAGAAGAAAGTGCTTGTCAAAGTCCACCCAGAAGGAAAATTTGTTGTCGACATCGACAAAAATATTGACATCAATGATGTCACGCCAAATTCAAGAGTTGCACTTCGTAATGAAAGCTATACTCTCCATAAGATACTCCCGAACAAAGTCGACCCTCTCGTCTCCCTCATGATGGTAGAGAAGGTGCCAGATTCAACGTACGAAATGGTAGGAGGCCTTGACAAGCAAATCAAGGAGATCAAAGAAGTCATAGAATTGCCGGTTAAACACCCAGAATTATTTGACGCTTTGGGTATAGCTCAACCCAAAGGGGTTTTGTTATACGGACCACCTGGAACTGGTATAAAAAAATTTTTCAATGTATATTTTATTATGCATTATTATCATTTAATTATGTTTTTACACCAGGAAAAACACTTTTGGCGAGGGCAGTCGCTCACCATACAGAATGTACATTTATTCGTGTTTCTGGATCAGAACTTGTTCAAAAGTTCATTGGTGAAGGTTCAAGGATGGTGAGGGAACTTTTTGTTATGGCAAGGTAATGTATTAAAAAATTTTCCATCATGAGCATGTATTATAAAGTAATAATAAGTAAAGACCAGATTCCCACGCAATCGCATTTTATTTTGGACTTCATCTCCAAAAATAAAATAATCGGGCACCACTCTGTTTTTCCTTTCCTTTCAGGAAACAGTGAACCCTTGGGGTGAAATCTAAAAAAAATCAATATCCTCCATATTGCCAATAAAACGGAAAACAAAAAGAAAATAAACAAGTCCTCTTTTACAATAGAAAAAGAAAGAGAAATGGTCAGAAAACAAAATTGCAAAAAAGAAAATAAAAGTATGAACCTGGTCCTGTTTCTTCTTGGTCCAGGATAGTTCTTTTCTCGCACATGCGAACTCTCCTCTCGTGAAATAAGAAAATAAAGTCCAAAATAGTTATTAAAAAATAAATAAAGTCCTTTTTCTCCAATTTGAGCCTCACCTTACCTCGCTAACCAGGCCTCTTCCTGGCCCTGCTCAACCTTGCACTGGGTACCCTTGTCTACTGATTCTAGGCACCCCAGTGCACAAACAAATTTTTTTTTTCTTATTATTTTCCACTTGTTACAATATATTCTTCCCAAGGTCGAACTGAGTGTTTGCTTTCTCCATGGCTCTCTTTGGCCTTATCCCACATGTTTTTAAGTAGAAAATTGATGTTGAAACTTACTTGAAGTCTTGCTTAAATATTTTAAACAATTAATTTACTCATAAAATAATAAATTCTAGAGAGCATGCACCGTCTATTATATTCATGGATGAGATTGATTCAATTGGATCATCCCGTATTGAATCGGGCAGTGGAGGAGATTCCGAAGTCCAACGGACAATGTTAGAACTTCTAAATCAACTCGATGGTTTTGAAGCAACCAAAAATATTAAAGTAAATTCCTTTTAAAAATTCTCACTGTTAACATGAATTTAATTCGGTTTGATTTCTTAGGTAATTATGGCAACAAACCGTATTGACATCTTGGATCCAGCTTTGTTGAGACCTGGAAGAATTGACCGAAAAATCGAATTCCCACCACCAAACGAAGAAGCCAGACTTGACATCCTTCGTATCCACTCGAGGAAAATGAATCTGACTCGAGGCATTAACCTGAGAAAAATTGCTGAGTTAATGCCAGGCGCTTCTGGTGCTGAGGTCAAGGTAAATTATAACTTTTTTTTTTATATAGTGTAGAGAATTAAACATGGTGACCGCAGTTGACGTCTACATGTCGACATCTCTTCCTTCTTTTTTAAACCGTCAAATCAATTCAGTACAGTCCAGTGATACAAGCCGGGCAGGCCCATAGCCAATGCAACTTTTGAAATAATAATCAAGTAAATGAACTATAATCGTTAAAGTGGTCAACAATTAGTTTGACAATCCTATTTTTTCTCAAATGAATTTTAGCATTTTGTCATTATCTTGTTAAAACCGCCAAAACATGCCCCTAATTGTTATTTATTTTTAAATATTTTTTGTCAGGGCGTGTGCACTGAAGCAGGGATGTACGCACTCAGGGAAAGGCGAATACACGTGACCCAGGAGGATTTTGAAATGGCTGTTGCCAAAGTAATGCAGAAAGATTCTGAAAAGAACATGTCCATCAAGAAATTATGGAAATAAAATAAGCTTAAATGTACAGGCTTTGTTGTATGGTCTAATTTACTACTATTGTATTTAATATAAGAATATTATAAAAATTTATTAAAAGATTATCTCACCATTTTGTTTATATTGTATTGTAAAAATCCTCAATGAACCCATTACATAATTATACTATGAATAAAATCAGGTATTAAAGGAAAAATGTTTGTGTTAAACTAGTTTTTATTATTTTCTTCAATAGTGGTAATAAATTATATAGATCAATAATTTCAATATCCTGGAATGATTTTACAATTCTAATCAAGGAATACATTTGAGATTATACCATTATAAAATAGTTTCATTTTACATATCACCTACAAGTTTACTCAAACAATTTTTCTTTGGTATGTTAAAACGTTTAAATAAACTATGATTGTAAGACAAACATATTCGAGTAGTTGTTTGTACGTAAACATTTGTTTTAATGAAATAGAAAACAATACAAAATAATCTGTCCTAATATACAAATATAATTATTGAAATGTGTAGAACTGTACACACGCATATACGTACAAATTTAAATCCACAATTGCAACAAGTTTTTTTTTCTTACTTTCCATATAAAATGAAGAGATTATCACAAAATTTACACATATTACTATTCAAAGAAGTCTCAATTTTCTTCTTGCTTTAATACAATAACAAATTTATACCAATTACTTTAAAAGTAGCGATCATTTTTACACTACAGATGCAGGGCACTATTTTTAGAAAATAGTGATTTAACAGTTTAATATATAAAAAAATATATTAAGTAATTAATTACTTTACAACTTGTGTGATAAATAATCGTAATAATAATAATTTGTATAAAAGTATAATTTTTTTTCTGCAATAAATAATACATTTTGATATAAAAATAAACAAGTGTTTAAATGAATGATAATTTGCCTCTGATGAATAATATAAAATTCAATTAATTATTAATTCCAAATAATAACGTCTCTTAGTTATCACACAAAAATTATTATTAACAAATAATTGGGAATTAAACAATATATATAACAGTCTATTCAACGATAAACAATCCTTTTGAACCATTAAAACTGCACCCAGTTGGGATTATTTGGTGTAGTTGCTTCCCTGAAACAAACACTTTATAATAATTTCTCAGATAAAAGTGAGGAATTTTTTACAAATTTGAAAATGGGACACTACTCAATAGATTCCACATTTTTCTTCAGCATTTTTCAGACAAATTAATAATTTTTTCAACCAATTTAATAATAGAACGCTGAAGTGCCAAGTCCACTTTGAGCATCGACTGCACCAATTACGCAATTGATGATGTCCTTCTGAAGCTGCCAATGGTTGCCCCAGGACTGCCACTCCATTATTGATGTTAAAATTATCATTTTTCAAATATTTATATTTTTCGATTAAATAATTTTACTTTTTGTCTACTTAACGGTTTTCTCAGCTCGAATTTATTTTTCCCCAACTATGAAATCCCGAAATGGACTATTATTAAATTGAATGAAACAATTATTAAATTGGTTGAGACAATTATTAAATTTAATTAGATGATTATTAAATTGGTTGAAAAATTATTAATTTGACTGAAAAAATGCCATAATTAATTTCAATATTAATTATATTGCAATATTATTAGTATGCCAATTAACTTTTATTTTTATCTAAGGTTCAACCAAAAGGTTGAGATGAAAAATTAGTGTCACGAGCAGGATTATTATTATGGCGTTTGTCAGAAAATTAATAATTTTTCAACCAATTTAAAAGAAGTTTAAATTGAATGAGACGATTATTAAATTGGTTGAGATGATTATTAAATTGAATGAAACGATTACTAAATTGATTGAATAATTATTAATTTGAATGAAAAATGCTATATTTTGTGAAGATTTTAACATCTATTTCTCGAGTTTGGTTGTTTCCAGTCATTTTGATTTGCCTATCCCTATGCTGTTGGAAAATATTTCAGCTTCAATGGCTTAATAGGATCCTTAATCCTATGTTAAAGAAAATAACTGATTACTGATTTGTAAGCCAAATTCCTCACATGGATGTACATCCACATACAAATGTACAGAGCTATGCCTATCACTTTTGCATTCCACCAAAAAAATCCAGGTTTTGTGTAATTTACAATAAATTATTGGCGGGCTTCGCGAATCACCGACCCCAAGTGTTGGCAGTCCTGGTGACCTTGGTCTCATTCTCCCATCCATGAGGTTGGGCTTCAGAGGCTATCAACAGCCAATTACCCTCTGCAATATAGCTAGTTTATTTGGGGGTCAATGCGGTACTCGATATTCTGCCAACGGCCCTCACAGTACAAATTCATGCTAATAAATAGATTCAGTCTCAACACACATAAAGATATCTATAAAGGATTATAAACAGTAAAATAGCCCTGTTTTCTCTAAAATTCGAAATAGGGGACCCAGTGGCCAAAGAAGGCTCTAATACTGCGTTTGTCGGGCCACCGGTATTACCTCACTCTATGAGCACAGTGAAAGAGAGTATTAAAAACTGGGGTATGAAACAATTCCTTAAGGAATGGAATCTATCCCCCGGACACCGGCAATCGAAGGAGTTTGTTAAGGAGATCAAACCAGCAGAATCGAAATGGCTATTCTCTAACTCAAGGAAGGAAATTAGGAGGCTGATAGGTATCCTGACGGGCTACTGCCCACTGAGAAGACACCTCTCCCTAATGGGTATTCTACCAGATCCCTTTTGCCGTTTTTGCGAAATAAAAGAAGAAACCGCAAGGCACTACCTCGCAGAGTGTGATAGGTATGCTATGTCTTTGAAGGAGAGGACATCACCAAATCACTCCCCGAGATTAAATTAAATTTTTTTAAATTGTGTTTTTTACTGCATTTTTAGCGTCAGAGGCCTTGATCGCAATTGTGCCATTCTTGCGTGTCATGTTGAGAGTGCCAGTGAGATATTCCAAGAATGGCATAATTACACAGAAAACAAACACTTTGAATATAAAAAATATTTTTTGCATTGTATAAATTCACTTTTTTTCACATCCTACATGTATTTGTTAAATTTAAACAATGTTTGTAACATCCCAGGCCCTGAAGATGATCTCAATAAAGGTTGAAACGTTGGTTGAAACGAAAAGAAAATGTTTTTCTGAAACCTACATCACACCAGACCGCATTTCACGATTTCTGAATAATAATTGACTAACGGTCATCAATCACCACAAGTTATGTTTGTTTATTTATATCAAAATATAGCTACCTGTTTTATTTATTTGTTTATTTTTCTGCGTCTTTTCACAACTTTCAATTCGTTATACTTACAATTTAATAATTTATTGTGTAATTAAATGAACGTACACACTATTTTTTCCCCACCTTGGTGTATGGCTTTTCATCCATTATTTTAGTGCTGAATCAATTTTTATCATGTATATAATAAGATACAAATTATGGGGAACAAAGTTGAGGTATGAATTAAAATTAATCATTTCTGGTCTATACTAGTTGTCAAGAGACTGACGATTTTGTTATCATTATCTTCAGTGAGAGACTGATAGCACATAAGCTGATATTGTTTTAAATTTAAAGTTAGAATACATAAAATTTTACTGACCTTCTTTCAACAAATCAAACAACAGAAACAATTATAAATAACATTGTTTTTATTAAAATGTAAAAATAATTAAATGTGTCTTTTTATTTTTCTAATACAAATAGTTACCCAGAATTAGTAGCAGAAGCAAAATCTCCCCATGATTCAGGCTTGGTGCTCGGTACACCATGAGATGGGGAAGAGTTGACTGACGGGGCTGGAGGTGGCGCGATTTTCACTCCGCCTGGAGGCGGCGGGAGGAGACCGGATCCTCCGACTCGAGCTTTTGGCTTACTTGTACTCTCCGAGCCGTCTTTTTTCTACAAGATTTTCCAAAAATGACCACTTGTTGGAAATTTTGATAACAGTAAACAGCGTCTTATACTTACCGTTATTTTCATATTTATTTTAATTGTTTCACCTTCCTTAAATCTTAAATCAAGTTCAGGTTTAGGTACGTCTTTCTCTTTTTCAATTTCTTCTGACTTCTTCAACCAATTAAAATGATCCTGCAGAGCAACATTCAAATCAAAACTGTCTGAGCGATCAGAAAATCCAACACCGATAAAAGCAGATCTTCCTAAAAATATTAACATTAAAAAACATCAAATAGCAGCTACATGTTTAATTAATTAACGTTATTCAATTTTTTTTACTATCCCCTAAAATTTTCTCATAAATTACAAACATCTACCAAATGGGTTAGCAGTATAGCTGCCTCATATTTTGTGTACATGCACATGTATAAATCCATTTGGAATAAACTTTGTATCATCTAGAATCCAACCCAGACAATCTCTGAAAAATTCATAAAGTGGTCTAGTGGTTTCAGAGTTTTGCCTGATACAAGGAATTGACCACAGACAGACACTGAACCAAATTTGTTCAGAAAAGTCTGAAACGCAGAATGTGTTGTAATTTTGCTTTTGGAGGACAACAATTTTTTCGACTTCCCTACCTTCGATAGTTTCGAAGCAAAAGAATATGTGATCATATTAATTTAATCTCTGATAAGCTGAGTAATTAGGGTGTCAGAATCTTGACTCGTAGACCCCGTGGTCATGGGTTCGATTCCCACCGTCCCCATGGAATTTCTGATCTGTCTTCCTACCCCCAAAGTATTGTAAAAGTATTGTTCAAACAAATATTCTGAATAATATGAGAAACGGCCATTAAAAATAAATAAATAAAAAGTATTGGAACTTCCAAACGGCAATCTGTGAAAATCAACTACTGTGTTGTCTGTCTTGTCTTGAGTCAAGTACCATCGTTATTAACAACTAGGTCGTTTCAAACCCCAACATGTGATGTTATTAAAATTAAACATTCACACTCATTTTTAAACATTTTCTTTTGTTTGAGTTATTTTGTTATAGTTACTGTTTAAATATACTTCCATTACATCTCGCACTTTACATTTTCACACAAAAAACATCTAACAAAATCTTGTCACCAGACTCGCTGTCACGCTTAAGTACACTTATATCTCCCTATATAAGCCAAGAAGGAACACCCACACAAACTCTGACCCAAAAGTAATTGACAATACGTCATCATATATGGCCTATTCTAGTTCTCAATTTAGTGTGAGAATGATCTCTCTTGTAAATTTCATATTTTCAGAGAGCTGTTTACTGACCAGACTTGATACATAGATCACATTTATTATAATTTCATAATATATATTATGTGTGTTTCTTAGTGACCTGTTGTTTCATAATTTGTTGAAGTCATGAAGAGCTCTCAAGAATGTGGTAGTTTTAAAAAACCTTCTTTCATTTTTTTTGCCTACGTTTCAACCTTTATTCGGGTCATCTGTAGGGCCTACCATGTCCCCTACCGTACCACAATCCTATAAAACCAGCAGAATACAAATTCACGTTTCACAACACTTTCACACAAAACCAATATGACCACACTTTATGAGAGTATGAAATGCCTCAAAATTTATATTTACATCTTAAATTGTATTTTTTCCAATTACATACGTTTTGTAATTTATTTGCCTTGAAGATGACCCGAGTAAAGGTCGGAACATTGGCAAAAAAAATGAAAAAAAGGTGCTTTTTTTTGCTACCTCATTCTTGACCACTCCTCACGACTTCAACAAAATGTATAACAACTATATATAGTAGAGAACCCCTGTTTCCTCAACAAATTACAGCAGAGACAAAAAGACGTTTTCACATCAGGTGATTCCTACTCACTCCTTATGTGAGTGCCAATGAACACACTTTACAATCAAAATATTTATTAAAAATAACAGTAATACTGTAAGCATAAAACATTATACTCTGTTTTTAAAGAGAGATTAATAATGTTTCACTATAACTGTCGATTTCATCAGAATTTCATATTTATTTTTTATTCAGCTTTGATCGGATGACAGCTATTCACTGTGTCGACAAATATTGACAAAGGAAATTGTTTTAATTAACATTTCATTTCAATAAAAATACAGTTTATACTTGGAATAAAGTGGAATATAGATGCTTATAGATCAAGGTCAAATTTTTCTTTTTTTTAAATTTTAAAAATCTTGTTTTTTTGTTTTGAATATGTTATTATTTAATGCTTATTCAGACAAGATGGTTTACTGTCCAACCATCTGTAGGTGTCATGGATGAGCCAAGAAAAAGAAAATTCCAAGGGTATTGTCGTTAATTGAACTGTACGGTCCAAGGGATCAAGAAGAACCGAGTGGAAAATCCACCAGGCCATCACGGTACCCTTACTATCCAGATGTAATGTACCATAAAGTACATGGTACCGTTTATCACATATTGACAAATATTCGTGCAATATGGATAAAAAATATACTAATTGTTTTAGACAAAGTGAAGAAAGTGATGAAAATCGATTTCATTTTCTCACAACTCGAGCATCGAGAACATGTAACGATGCAAAATTCTTTCGCTACAATCGTCGTACCGTTGTCATCCTGGATTCTGAGGACGAAATAACGAGACGAGTCGGACACGGGTTCTATAGCCACTCCTGGATACTTGTCGATTGGACACTTCGCGAAAAGTTCTCCAGATGCTTTGTCCTCAAGTTTGATAAAACACTCTTTGTCTTTGGCGACTAGGCGCATCCTTCCAGTCCATTGAGGGTCTGCCAAATTCCAATCGGCGGCTCTGGAAAAAAAATCGCATAATTTGCTAATTCTTGCTTTTTTTTTTTTTTTTTTTACTTATGGCCTCGATTCGTTGTAAGCGGTGGGATCTTGAAAACGAACACTTCATTCTTGACCAAAAGAACACTTTCGTACGAATCCATCTCCAGCTTCTTGATGATCTCGTTAGAAAACTGTGACGTTTTAATTTATAAATACAACAACTGACTTACAGGATTATATACCCTAAGTCTCTATTGGACAAGGTTTCACTTTTATCTGTTCTCGTGCTTTTGCCACAGCAAGCCAATAGGGCTCCAGTGAGCACATGCTCTCTATGGACTTTACTCACAACTCACAATTCCAGGAATCTTTAATAAAATAATAATAATACATAATATAGAAATATACAATATAAAAAATATACATAACAATATAAAAGCAAACTAAGAAAACAAAGGGCAAAATTACTTAAGCATGTTTTATATAAATATACCTAAAAAAATATCACATTTATTTTTATTAAATTGTCATTGTAAATTAATACAATATATTTTAAAATATTAAAAAACTGCTCAAAAATGGATAGGAGTATTGCCAATTTTGTAATATTTACATTTCCTAGCATTTTTATTTTTATTACTGAAGGAACATTTAATTTTTAATTTAATTTTAGTCTATCTTCGATGTGTTGGTTTTGGGTCATTTTGGTTTGGCTATCCTCATTGTTGTGGGTCTGATTGTTTTGGCCTTTCTATCTTCATTGAGTTGCTTCTGATAATTTCCATCTGCCTATTCTTATTGTATTGGTTCTGATCATTTTGCTTTGCCTATCATTCTTGTTTTTAGTCTTATTGGGTTGTCCGGAAAATAATGCAGGATTTTAAGTTTTCATTAAAAAAAATCTATATAAAATATTCTGTTTACGTTTACAGGATTACTCATTTNATTATTTTGATTAAAGAACATTGCTTTAAAGTAACTAGTTTCTTTTTTTTTGTTTAATACCAAAATCCTGCATTATTTTCCGGACAACCCAATATTATAAGGCAAAAAGTGGGAAAATTCAAACGGTTGAGGTGGGGAGTTGGTGTCTGAATGGATCAAAGTCACGATAGCTCAAGTGGTTAGAGCCGAAGGTCATGGGTTCGAATCCATTCAATTCTTATGACACTAACTTTTTCATTTCAACCAAAACCTTACATAAAAAGAATAACTAATTGAAATAATTAATGTGGTCAATTAGACCACTAAACATAAATGAATTATGAATAAAGTAAATGAAGATGTATGAAGATCTATGTGCATCATTTTAATTATGAATGAAAACAAATTGTTGGGCATAAAACATTCTTAAAACAAACAATTGAATAAATAAAAGCTTTTATCTACGTAATTAAAAAATATATTACTCTAACAAAATATTCGAAAAAATTGATTTCATAAAAATGAATCATCATACCTTTCAAAAAGAGTCGTGGCTTTTAATTTGCATATTTTTATCCAAGAAATTTTTTTACAAAAAAAAAATTAAAATTAAAAATAACAATATAAAAATCCACATGTTGGAACAATTTTCAAGTCCGAAAACCCCGAAAGATCATCAACTGTATTTTACCTCTAAATACAATACTGCCCTGAGGACAGCCTTATAAAGGCTGAAATCTTGACAAGTGATTACAGTTTCTTTCTTCTTTTTTGATACATCAGAACCTTACAATGTATCATTGGTTGATAAGTCCATATAGTCATCATATTTACCTGAATTAAAAAAATCTTATTAATCTGATAATCAACATGGCTTTTCATTGCATAATTCATAAAAATGTTGGCATTGATGCATATAAAAACCTTAATAACTTCACGATTTCTAAATAAATATTGATTAACGGTCACTAATCACCACACACTTAATAACTTAGTTAAGCTCTTTGAAAAATATGCTCAATGTAAGGCTAGAAGATGGTTTATTTTAAAATGTAAATTCATTAATATTTTTTTATGCTTCATCATAAATAACATAAAAACTGTATTTCATTATGGTGAAGAAGGGGGGGGGGGATTGGCTCATTCTGAAGCCTACAAACTTGCAGATAAATCATACAAATGAATTGATTATAAACACTTCAAAAACCTATGTAATGTCTTTCTATCAAAGTTCTGAAAATTCTTCTCTTCTATAATATTAATAATAATATTGTTTTATCAATTATATTAAAGAGGAAGAATTTCACCCAATAAATCCTTTTCACTCCATAATTCATCAATAGTAAATAAATCTTCTATATTGACTTCAGAACTCGCAGAAGTCATAATTTCAATAATATTAAACCTAAAAATTAAGCCTTTAAAAAACTCTATTGTTCTTTTGTCTATCCAAATCTTGAATTTTTTTCTCCTCTCTGGTCTCAAATCTTCAGTTAAAAACATTCTTTCAAACAGATTAAAAATAAATTTTTTAAATTCATCTCCTTCAAATTAAATAGTGCTTACAATGGAAGGATGCTCGCAATGCACAACGGACTCTAGGTATTACTATTTAAAAACATATATCACATTTTATATATTAAGCTTTTTTAATACATAATCCCATTTCAACAATGATTATCAATGTCAAACATACACGTTTAATGATTCGTAGTGATTTTAGATGTAGCCCTTCATGGAATGATGGGGGTGTTGAGATTCTCCAAGAATAAACCTATAAATAATTATAAAAACTTAATATAAATGGAAACAATGTGGATTAAAAAGAAATGTCATTAGAACTGAATTGGTTTTATTTATTGATGTTATGCAAAGAAAACTAATGCTCAATTACTGAAACAAAATGACCAAATATGGAGTGATGCTCGCGATGCACAACGGACTCTAGGTATTACTATTTAAAAAACATATATCACATTTTATATATTAAGCTTCTTTTAATACATAATCCCATTTCAACAATGATTATCAATGACAAACATAAATGTTTAATGATTCTTAGTGATTTTAGATGTAGCCCTTCATGGAATGGTGGGGGTGTTGATTCTCCAAAAATAAAGCTGTAAATATTTATAAAAACTTAATATGAACGGAAACAACGTTGATTAAAAAGAAATGTAATTAGAACTGAATTGATTTTATTTATTTATTGACGTTATGTAAACAAAACTAATGCTCAATTACTGAAACAAAATGACCAAATATGGAGTGATGCTCGCGATGCACAACGGCCTCAAGGTATTACATATTTAAAAAACATAAATCATATTTTATGTATTAAGTATTTTTAATATAATCCCATTCTAACAATGATTATAAATGTTAAACCTAAACGTTTGATGATTCTTGGTGATTTTAAACGTAGCCTGTCATAGAATGGCGGGGGTGTTGATCCTCCAATGGAAACAATGTGGATTAAGAAATTTAATTAGAACTGTATTGTTTTTATTTATGTATTGACGTTATGTACACAAAACTAATGCTTACAAATGAAACAAAATGATCAAAAATGGAGGGATGCTCGCGATGCACAACGGCCTCTAGGTATTAGTTTACGAGCATATATTACAAATTACGAATTAAGGGTTTTTATAAAATAATTCCATTTTACCAATGTATATCAATGTAAAAAATAAGCTTTTAACAATTATTGGTGGTTTTTTCGATACAGAGAGCTGAGGGAATTTTTTTGTTTTCTTTGATCAGATTGACCCGGACTTCGGGTGCTCACAGGACATTGGTCCGTTCTTGCTCGCTTTGAAAATCTCCTGGCGATTGTTGTTCCTGTAGGCGGCGAATGAATACTGATAATCTGACAATAATGTAAAACCGCCACCTGAAGCCCTCGGTTGCTAGAGACAGGCAGAAGGCCGAAATCCTAGTGAAGATGACGAGTAAAATGTGTATGACATTTGTGTTTGTGTATATAGTCGTCGTCCAGATAATCCACACCAACTCGAGGACGTCGAATTTGTGGAAATTGAGCACTGACGGGAAAGTCATTGAGGCCGGCAACTTCAACAAGTTTCCCTACAACCCGGAGGATATTATTGACGACCCGATTTTCAACATAATCACCTCAACCGTTCACTACGGTAAATCGTGGACTAAGAGAAGCTTAGAGACTTTCTGTTCTGACTGTCAAAAGACTAATTCTACTTACAACATGTAAGTAAACACGAGACAGGAAAAGGATTATCTAGCAGAAGTAATGCATGCTCATATCTATGAAGATCTCGCACTCTACCTCTCTTTCTTTCTCTCACTCTCACAAACAAACATCTCACTGACTCACTCCTTTTATTCTAACAAATTAAAGCATTTGCTGAAATAATTCAAATTGTTTTGCATAAAATGGGCTCTGTGTCACAAAATTAGACAACTACAATGGTCCTACTCTTGAAGATGTCTGCAGGTCTGGGGGTGATGGACCTGCAGCTTTGCCATTATTGATGGTCTGCCCCATCATCGTTTTGGTTCTGAACATTTTAATCAGCCTACCTACACTATTTTGGGTCTGACCATTTTGGTATGGCTACCACACTATTTTGGCCCTGATCTTGTTGGTGTCCTTATCCTCAATCACGGGTCAGATATTTTGGTCTGTCTGCCCTCACTGTTTTGATAATGATCATTTTTGTGTACCTATCCTCGTTTTGGTTCTGATAATTTCCATTTGCCCATCCTCATTTGTTAGTTCTAATCATTTTGCTTTGCCTAAACTTGCTGTTTTGGGTCTGATCATTTTTATCTGGCACCCGCATTGTTTTGAATTTGATCATTTTGGTCTGTCTATCCTCATTGGGTTGGTTTTGATCATTTTGGTTTGCCTATCCTCATTGGGTTGGTTTTGATCATTTTGGTTTGTCTATCCTCATTGTGTTCATTCTGATCATTTTGGTTTGGCTATCTTCACTGTTTTGGGTCTGATCATTTTTGTGTGCCTGTCTTGTTTTGGTTCTGATACTTTCCATCTGCCTGTCCTCATTGTGTTGGTTCCGATCATTTTGCTTTGCATATCCTTGCTGTTTTGGGTCTGATCATGTTGATCTGGCTACCCGCACTGTTTTGGTTATGATCAATTCAGTTTCGCTATCCTCATTGTTTTGGTTCTTATCTTGTTAGTTTCCTTATCCTCATTGTGTTGAGTCTGAACATTTTGCTTTGGCTGTCCTAGCTGTTTTGGGCCAGCCTATGTTCACTGTTTGGGGGTCTAATCATTTAGGTCTGCCTAGCCCTCACTGTTTTGGTACTGATCATTTCGATCTGGCTATCCTTGCTGTTTTGGTTCTGATCCTTTTGGTTTTCTTATCCTCACTCTTTTTGGTCTGTTTATCTGTACTATTTTATCTACCTATTCTTGTTATTTCGGTTCTGATTGTTTGGTTGCTTGTTTTGGGCTGTTATATATGTTCCTGTCTTTTGTTAACATCACCAGTGCGTTAAAACAATAAATAAAAAAAAAAAATAAATAAATAAATTTAAAGGGATGTGACTGTGCTGTTAGTTGTAACTCACATACCCACTGTTGATAATGAAAGGCTGAATTTTGTCTGACAGGCCAAAACAGTGAGGATTGGCAGACCAGAATGATCTCTTGCAGGTACAGCGTTGATAGGTGTCCACACTGTTGTTTTTCTTCTGTTTGTTGGCCAAAATTAGTGCTATAATGAATCAACATACTTTTTTATTGTAGTGATTAAAAGATAAATAAAAATAAAATAAAGATTGGTTTAAATTGAGCCGATAAAAATTATTTGCATGCCACGAATAAAATCGTTTGTCTGTTATTGTTTACATTTTATCTTAGCTTATTTTATATTTTTATGGTAGACATTTATTATTTTACATTTACATTCGTTACGTTGAATCTTTAAGAGATCGATTGTATCATAACCTCATCATGCTAAAAATGAGGAATAAAAGTACTACTTAGAAATGAACAAAAGTCATATTTAGAAATTGCAGACTTTTGGAAGTTAAATTGTTCTATGTGCGATATGTTGAACAAATTGAAAATCAAGGTATGGAGCATCCTAAATAATTAACTTGCAGAGTGAAGAGGAATGTTGTCAACACAACACTTAGAATACTAAATTCACTAGTTTCGTGGTCCGCTTGACCAATTAATATCTTACAATGATTTAAGGTTTTTAGACAAAAAAGTCAGTGTCACGAGCGGGATTCGAACCCATGATCTTCGGCTAGATACGCTGCTGCTGTACCACTTGAGCTATCGTGACCTCGATCCACTCGGACACTAACTTCCCATCTCAACCTCACCTTTTGAATTTTCCCTCCTTTTTGCTATTTTTCAAATGTCGTTGATTTGATTCTCAGTGACAAATGAAATGGCCATGGAGAGCTTTAGTGAAGGTATACTTCATTTAAACTTATTAAATTCATTAGTTTCGTGGTCTGCTTGACCAATTAATATCTTTCAATTAATTAAGGTTTTTAGTTGAGATAAAAACTTAGAATACTGTTATGGCATGTAAAAAAAAAACTAACATGGTTTGAAGGAATTCTTATGATAAGAGAAATAACAAAAAATTGCTTTTATAACAAGAATCCATGGTAGATCAACTATAAAATACCTGTGGCAGTTAATGTAATAAACAACAAAACGTTATATCCCATGTCAGTAATCTTTAAAAAAATTAGCTATCCTAACATCTTTGACAAAACTAAAAAAAAAGTCCATGCCGAGAAGGCAAATGGGCATAATACTAAATATTTTCTAATGAATATTACATAAATTATATAATAAATGCATAAATACTTCTTTGCTTGTCTCATTTTCTTCAGCACGATATTTAAAGATTAGCAAATATAATTGTTCATTAAAAAGTAATGTTTGATTGTCGATCTCTATACATTCCTCTAAAAACCAGGACTATAGTGATTACATTTTTTTCTTCTGTTCTCATTTATCATTTATGATGTTTTACAATACCATAAAAGTTGGCTAGAAACAATATTTTGTACAAAAGCTTAAGATGCAAGTGTTTGCAAAAAATACACCAGGAAAAGTATTTTTTGACCTCATAAAATTCCAAAACTGTTTAGGCAATCATTAAAAATAACCAGCAGTAATTAAAAAATGTGAGGTTAAACAGCAATTCTTTTTAAATTCCTATCATACAACGTTCGTTGGGTGTTGTGGGTGAGGGGTCAAACCACTTTACAATACATTTTTCATACAATGATACATTAAAAAATTGTGGGCTCTGCTGTGATTCTAACCTAGAACAAAAATACGAGTCGGACGCCCTAACCACTCGGCCATCGCAGTCCAAGTTAAACACCATTATAAAAGAAGCTAACTTTATCAACTGGTCTACTTTTCTCTATTCATACCTTCTCTTCAGGTTATTTAAAAAATATATGTTTAATTAACTTAATTATATTTAGATCGACCGCCCTCCGATCCTCTTCAACTTAACCGAATTAAATATATTTGTATTTTACTTTAAAAAATATATATGCATTATTTTTCTGTCTAGGAACAAATACATATTTTTTTAATGAGGTTTTATTCCAAATGTTTTAGAAGAAATGGTCTACTTTCCAATCCTGATCATGTTAATAAAACAAAGCATCCTGAAGATGATGAAGTACTCGACTGTGGGAAGCCAGTCAACTTTACATATTATGACAATTTAGTCGGAGTGGCAAACCGTTTTACACATCCCAATGTACCAGAACCGCAGGTTCGTTTCATGAATAAGAAAGTAAGTAGGAGCAAGTTAAATTTGAAATGTTTTCGATTACAGGTCGCGTTAATATTTAAAAAAAAAAGTACCGACATCGATGTAATCGCTTTGGAGAGAAAGCTGAAAAAGGCCAAGCGGGAGAAACCGAAATCGGTCCAGTTGTACAACCAGATAGGCAACTTCTGGAGGCTAAAGGGCGATACGTACAAATCTATTGAATGCTTCCGTAGGGCACTTGCTGTTTCACCGCATAATGCAGAAGTAAGTTGAACTGATTTTTATTGGGAAAAATACCCCAAACATTTTTAATAATAACTATCTTTACGAAAGGTTTTGCTTAATCTTGCGAGAGTATTATTTACTCTTCAGTATTTGGATGATGCAATATACTTGACAAGAAGGTCGCTTGAAGTTCAACCGCCTGACAAAAGTGCGTGGCAGCAATACTTCACACTGGGTGAAATATTTAAAGTAAGTTTCTAAATTATTATAAAGTTTTTGTAAGTTGCTGGTTGAAATGAAAAAGTTAGTGTCATGAGCGGGATTTGAACCCACAACCTTCGGCTAAATACGCTGCTGCTCTACCACTTGATCTATCGTGACTTCGATCCCCTCGGACACTAACTTCCCATCTCAACCTACCATTCGAATTTTCCCTCCTATTTGCCATTTTTCAAATGTCGTGTAATCAGGATTAGATTTTCGGCGACAAATGAAATGGCCACGGAGAGCATTAGTGAAGATATACTTCGTTTTACTTATTAAATCCATTATATTTCATGGTCTGATTGATCAAATAACTTCTTTCAATTAATTAATCTTTAGGTAAGTATTGGTTGAAATGAAAAAGTTAGTGTCGCGAGCAGGATTCGAACTCCCGACCTTTGGCTAAATAGGCTACTGCTCTACCACTTGAGCTATCGTGACTTTGATCCACTCGATTATTTTAAAGGCTTAAGCTTTAATTTATTGTAATATTTGTAAAACCACATTAAACAACAACATTATTTTAAAAAGTTCAGATTTTTTTTTCATGAGATCTGCAATAATCATTTTTAGTCTGCCTATGCTTCCTGGACCCTATGAGGGCATTTTACGACTTTTCTAACTAAAATGCAGATAAAAAATACTTTGACATCTCAGAGAGGGGCTTGACTCCAATATGGGTTCATCCGCATTGAATGTGTTTAATCAACACAATACTTTTTTTTACTTCATTTATTTGTTTATCTACAACTGTACATGTACTATATACAACCAGCAGTTTGGATTTCAATTTATGTTTGTGGCATTATGGGCGTTATAGAGAAAGCTACCCATTGGCAGCCGCTCTGGATTAATAAAATGATATTAATCATAAGAGGTCTCTTATCCATATTCTTTTCAGTCGTTTATGTGGTAATTGTGGGGGATGGAGAAATCGTATTTGCTTGTTAGTGTGATATTGTACTTTACTATGAAAACATTTGTAATATGGTTTTGATGAATGAAAAAAACTGTTGGCATATGAAGATCTCTGTGAAGTGTGCTATTTTTTACGTAAAGGGGGCAGAAACAATTAGTTTTGGAATTTGTGGATTTAAAACTTTGTAATCTTTGAATATTGGAATGTTTGGCTGATACATAAGCTTGACACCAGTACATCCAAATAGGTTTGATTAAGTACATGTATGTTGAAAGGGATGTGGGAAGATTTGTCAACCTCACGACTGGTGGAGGAAACTATAGATCTTATCAGTAGGATCTCTTTCAGGTTTGAGAATAAGGTGACCCTTATTTGGATATTAGCACATAAAGGACACCATGGCAATGAAAAGGCGGATGGCCTAACCAAAGAAGGTTCTAATACTGTGTTTGTCGGGCCACAACCGGTATTACCTCACTCTATGAGCACAGTGAAAGAGAGTATCAATAACTGGGGCATGAAACAATTCCTTAGGGAGTGGAATTTATCCCCCGGATACAGGCAATCGAAAGAGTTTGTTAAGGCAATCAAACCAGTAGAATCGAAACGGCTATTCTCTATCTCAAGGAAGGGAATTAGGAGGCTGATAGGTATTCTGATGGGCCACTGCCCACTGAGAAGACACCTCTTCGTAATGGGTATCCTACCAGATCCCTTTTGCCGCTTCTGCGAAATAAAAGAAGAAACGGCAAGGCACTACCTTGCAGAGTGTGATAGGTATGCTAGGTCTAGATTTGATATCTTTGAAGGAGAGGACATCACCAAATCACTCCCCGAGATAAAATGGTCCAAAATCTTGGGGCTTGTGAACAAGGCCAAGAGGTTTATGCAGGACATGTGAGCCGACCAAGTCCCGGACCTTTTAGGGATGGGGTACGAGTCTACCCAGGCATTTAACCCCTCGGGTCTTGGTCGCCCACCCTGCATAATATATTATATATATAAAGTACATGTATGTTGAAAGTTTTGATTTTAATGATAATTTTGATTGTGGGTTGAGTAGGTGATAAAGCATTTTAAATTGTTTAATTTTTTTAAACTTTTTTAAATTGCAAAATTAATATGCATTTATTGCTAATAAGTAATAATAAATAAATAACTTTTTGTATTTGTGTAGTGTTTTATTGTTTTAGTATCAATCAAAGAAATAACAGTTATTGCTTTCTTGACCCTTGCCTTGTTTTAACATCTGTGAGAAACCTGTCTTGAATTTAATTACCGCCACATCCTCTTTTACCTTTGTCTTTAGCCAACTTGTCACAAGGTGGTGGTCTTGGAATCAAACATTCACAAGGTTTGGGACTCTTCATTGTGTCTTTCTTACACTCGGAATATGAAGGCCGAGGAGCTCTTAGTTTTTTGCATTCGGGTTTTACATAAGGGTAAAAGCAGTCTGGCGGATCTCTTGCTGGGGCACAGCAAGGCATGCACAATCTCTCACAGTCTTTGTTGCTTTTCTTCTTCTTGGAGGCTCCCAATATTTCACTAGCTCTTAAACAAGGCAATTGACCCATTTTTTTACAGTCTTTGTCATCTTTACGTAAAACTGGCATAGTCGAAAAGTCCTTGAATTGATCCATATTAGTTTTTCTTCCAAGAAGCCAGGCTTGCCTTATTTTTGTTCTGATAAGAGGCTTAAAGGAACTTCCAACGGAATCAGCACAAAAGAATTTATTATAGCAACATTCTTTTGAGGTTATTGATGGTAATTTTCCCTTTTTGCACTCTGTGTAACTAGGGATTCGGTATTCTAGCTTCTTGCATGTATTTAACTGCGGCAACTTTTCATCATTGCAAGACTCATGAGCTGGGCAACAGCAAGGCATGCAGATTTTATCACAACCTTCCCACACTTGAAGCGCTGGGATCTTGCATTCTTTTGTATGAACTGGTATAGAACACTTAAGAGCTTTAGGAGGGAGAGGTACAGGTAAGCAAGTTTTCAAACTTGCTTTGGGAGCACATGTCATTAAACACCTGAACTGATTGAGTTCAGTCTTTCTGTTTTGAAGTCCTATGTTCGAAACAAATGAAAACAAACTACCTGATCCTAACATCTGTCCTAACACGGTTAGCATTGATGGGTTAGATTTGCCTTTTAAATTCATTATGATTGAAAGGGTATTCGTTTCTTGGTTCTTCACAAGCTTATTGTTTTCTGTGTTTGTCCCAGTAATGCTATTGTCCCCCTTATCACAGGCCTGAAACAATTTTCTTGCATTGACCCGACTGTCTTGTAAGTCTGCCTTATCATCAGAACAACGCTTTGGCTCTTTGATATCCTTAGTCTTATCATCTAACTCAGTTGATCGAGATTTAAAATAGCTCTGTATATCTAGCCAAACTTCCTTTTGGTCTGAGAACAATTTGTTAACAACCAGCGGCTTGTGAACTATAAATTCATCCTGCTTTGTATCGAGTGGTGGGTCGAAATTTGTCGGAAATGACAAAGGGCGGTCATTTTTTTTCTTTGATTTAACTGTTGGACTATGTGACAAAGATCTTGCCTGAGCCGCATTGGCACTTTGTACTAATATGGCATTACAATCATTGTTTATATTACATACTTGCTTACCCTTCAAGAACTTTTCCGTTGAGAGCTTGTATAACTGTTGTGTTGGTTTCATAACTACTACTGATTATACTTGTGTTTTTGTTTTTTTAATTTTTATAATTTTACTCAAAAAATTTGTAACGTGTATGTAATTTGTACATGTGTACTAAAACAATTATTAGTTTTGATCATATGGGTTAAAACAATTGATTTTTAAACAAAATGTTAAAAAAATGTATTGTAAATAAAAAAATTATGACTTTTAACAGCTGTATAAATTAACATTTGATTTTTTTAAAAATATTTATTATGTTTATGTCACATTTTGATAATAAATATAGTATATATACTATAGTAATTTAATGTGTCTCCCTTAATTGGGGATTGTTTGACAATAAAATTTTAAATATTGTAGTAGGTTGAAATGAATCTGTAAATGATTGGGCCCAATGGTCTATTTATTTTTGGTATTCTCCATCAAACTTGATGGTCCTATCTGAAAAATACCATTGACAATTAGCGGACATATTTTTTAGGGGGCATCGTGGCTGAAATGGTTTAGACCAGGGGTCGGCAACCTTTTTCGGACGGCGGGCCATTTTCAAAATAAAATTTTTTATCCGGGCCGCACATTCAAATGTAACTTAAATAGTGCTTTTATATCATATACGAGTATAAATATTATTATGGGGAGAGGGGATTAAACTTGCGCAGTAAAATAGGTTTTTACTATGCTTCTGTTAGCGCGCATTTTTGTCACCGGCCACATTTCGGCACGCTCACGCTCTGAGTTTGTTGATTTTTCCTAAAATTATATTGGGCTTTGGCGGGCCGCACAAAAAGTTGCAAAGGGCCGCAGGTTGACGACACGGTGCTCATCACTGTAAGGTAAAGGTCCCGGGTTTGAATCCTGCGACCCTGCATTAGAACCCAACTTACTTACAAATGGTCTTTTTTTTTAATCACCGGCACCCTGAAGGTTATATAACCTCATAGTTAAAATAACCTTGTTAAAAAAATAAAAAATAACCGTTTGCTTTATTCATTTAGGCTTATGGTCATTACCAGGAAGCTTCTCTTCATATGCGCCACTGTCTTCATCTGCGGCCGGGATTTGACCCAGCCATAGCAGTCCTCAAAGATCTTGAGGCCACGCCTGACAACAACATACATATTTATACTCTACTCATCATCGTCTGTTTGGTAATAATTCGATTAATAAATACGATAAATATTTTTACACTAATCCATAATTTTATTTTTTATTAAGGTGCTTGGAGTGTTGTTAGTGATAATTTCTTCGATGGATTCTAACCTCGAAAGTGATTATACGGAAGTTGTTAAGGGGCAACGCCATTTCAACAGAGCGATGGCTATGAGATCACTAAAAATGGGCATTTCACCTAGGGCACTTAGATCTAAACGGTATAATGGAACTTCGGGCTAAAAGTTATCAACACGTTACATTAATTATCTCTATCTATTCTCCTACCTCCACTTGGGAGCACTCTCTCTTGCAAATAGTCTTTTTGCTAAGTTCATAATTTGGAACACAATTTTATAAGCTTTATTTTTTTCTTGTTGTATTGTCTGTCAATCAATACTTTAGAGTCGATTGCTGTTTTTATTTATTTATTTATTGTTTCTTTAAAAATTAGCATTTTATTGATTAATTATGTGATTACAAACGATTTTTTGTTTACTTCTTGCGCGTCATATTATTAAAAAAATAGTAGATTTTTTAATTTGATACAATTAAATTAAAATACATTTCTATTAAAAAATTTTATATAATATGTTGTCAGAAGCGATAAAATTACCTGATGTTCTAGTCATATATTACAATTCTACTTTTTTTTAAATACCACTAGGCAAAATGTGCCATTTGTTCCTCATTTTTGATCATTGTGTTGTGATCTTGAATTTGAATGGATCTTTCTTTAGTTGTATAATTTACAACAATTTTAAACTATTATGAGTTATAGTATTGTACAACAATCCAAAGGACAACATTTTATCAGACTTTTTTTAACCTCTTGTTTTATAGTTTTAAAATTGAAATTTTTTTTTACAATTCATATAATATATCAAGGCTACCACTATATTTTACATACATACATTTTATTTTTGTAATAATTTTAGCTAAATTTAATTACACTCTGAACACTAGTTTGTAAAATAAACGATATTTGTAACTAGTATAATTATAAATCTTAACTATGGTGAGATTTGATTGATTTTCAGTGCCAAATTTAAGTGATGAATATATTTAAAAAATTTATGTTTTTATCTTCATTTATATGTTTATGAAAAGCAAAAGAAATAAAATTTTCTGAGACTGGTATTTACAAATTGAAGAAATACAAGAAGAATCCTTATTGTAGTAAAAATAATTTTGGACTCAAGATCTCTTGTGATGATTAAAAAAATGGTGTGTAATATTATATGTTAAAAAAATTACAACCTTGTTTAAATTTATATATCTGAATGGAGATAAAAAATGTTTTACCTAATCAGTAAATGAGTTACCATTTTTATTTTTTTATTTTTTAAGTGGTTGCTTTGATTTATTTCTAGTCCAGACTCAGGTTCAAAAAGTAGCAAAGAAAAGCTTCTTTTTAGTATTGACAAGTTAGGTCATCTTGTCTTACAAATAAGAGGGTGCTTTGTTGGTGCACAAAGGTTTATGTGATTTTCTTTTCATTACACCTCTACCAATATTTATAAGTTTAATTTAACTACTGTATGATTTTGTTTTGAATAATTGGTCAATATAAAGCATTTCAATGTTTATAAAAATGAACTGTATCATATTCGAGAGGTGGGCTTTTATATTCATTGTTGAAAAAAGTTCGTTAGTTTTTAATAATTTTTGACTATGAGATGCAAACAGTCAAAACCAAAGATTTTTGTAAAACAAAGTAAACAAGACTCAGAGGTAGTAGTTAGTTTAAAGCCCTTCCTTCCATTTGACTGTGTTCCAGGACATTATGTGTAATAAAATTATATATTATTGTGTCTTTTTTCTACTCCTTTTTTTTATGTAAGATAATTATTATTTTTAGTTACTACTTGCTATGCATGTAAAATGGTTCAATCCACATACAGGTACAACAATAAAAAAATGGTTAAAGTTTATGTTTGAATTCAATTGTTTTTAAAAATCCTTTAATTTTAAAATAAAAATCATCAACAAAAACTAGGTAACGTGCAGTATTTAGTATTTTCAGTGCTAGTAATTACACAAATAAAACGAGACGTATAAAAAATTCTTTTTGGCTTATTGCCAATATTCTTCCACCGATGATACAAATCTAATAATGTAGACATGCTTTACTTATTTGTTTTAAATTGTTTAATGTGTAATTTGGTATTATGTACTTATTATTTATATTATACTTATCCAGTGTCAGTCTGAGGATAAATCTTGGACTTGTACTTCCTGCCCACGTTGGGTTCTAAAATTATCAATTTAACTTTTTTTTACTTCCTATGTATTTCTATTTTCTACCACCAATGCTATTACATGTTATTACACTTTCACCCTTTACACAAACGAATGAGGGGGATTCCACTATCCACAGGTCATTGAAGGTAGTAGTAGTAGTGCACTGCGGTAGCTGAGTGGTTAAAGATTCAGGCTCTGAGCTAGTTGATCTCGTGTTTGTGGGTTCTCTAGACTTTATTTCTGATGGATAAGGGGAGCAGTGACCGCCGTTGACCCGGCACTCATCAATGGGAAGTCTGGAGATCGTATCTCAGTGGCCCTGAATTCAAGTCTCGAAAATGAGTTTGATGGAAGAACACTGGCACAATAGGAGCTCAATACAGATGTGTTGTTGTGACCTCCCAAAAATGGAGAAAATAACCTTGTACATAAAGCTGCTGGCAGGAGGGGGATAAATAAATAAAAAAGTAATAGTTATTTACGGGCCGCCAAATTTATTATAACGCATCTGTTACACTAACTCAATTTTCTACTCCTTAAATTGCTAACCTCTAGTTTTCTCAGGTTGTCAAATTACTAATTAAAAAAAAGACCGTACGTACAAACACATAAAATGAACATTTCCTGGCCTAAAAACACGACAATGCTTTGGAACAGGCCATAGTGTGATACTGGGCATTTCAACGATGCCTTCATCTCCCAACATAAGATAAGTCTGGTCACATTCATTCCCTAGAGTACTTGATAGTGCTCAGGGCGGGTTTAAATCCTCCATTCGCACTAATAAATTACTTACTCTGCAGACATCACACTCACACCAGAGTACTCAATATTCCTCAGAGTGGGGATAAACTGCTCATTCTTGCTAATTATTTACATTCACAACATTCATGCTAATAAATATACTCACACAATTTGACAGGCAATTAAGTTTAAAGAAGGTTACTACATTAAAAGAACTATTTTTTTTTTTTTTTAACGGGGTTTTGCAACAACAGGCGGAGGTCATATCAACCCCTGGGGTGCTTGTGTTTAAAAAAAGGCCCATTTGAATGCAGAGCCGCTGACTTGAACCCAGGACCTTTACCTTTGAGTGAGTGTCAATACCTTAACCATTGCGGCTATATTCCCAAAAGACGGCGAGAGATATGAGGGGTATACATACCAAAAGTAGGACGACCTATCGACTACAAGCCTAACTTGTACAGATCTATCAGTCTTACATCATTCATGTTAAAGACATTAGAAAGACTGGTGGAGAACCACATTCATGAGACAGCACTGAAGAATAAAGGTCTCAGTGAGCGACAGTTCGCATACCAACCAGGGAGATCCACAGAGCTAGCCCTGTACAACCTGTGTAAATGCCTAACCAAGTCCATAAATGACGAGGAGATAGCCGTTACACTTTTTATGGATATAGAGGGAGCTTTCAACAACGCAACAACAGCCTCTCTATGTAGAGCTGTAAGAATAGGGGAGTCTCGGAGAAGGTATGCCAATGAATGGAGGAAGGCCTAAGGAACAGGATAATTACATCCACCTTGGGTGACCATCTGGGCCAAAACAGCCAGGGGATGCCTGCTGAGAGGTGTTCTCTCGCCTCTCCTGTGGACGACGCTGGTAGACAAAAACCTACAAATGATGGAACAAGAAGGATTCTACTGCCTAGGCTATGCAGGTGACCTTGCCATAAAAGGCCGCCATGCGAACATCGTGATGGATCGGATACAATGAGCCATCAATCTGGTTGACAGGTGGTGCAGAAGAGAGGAGTTATCTATCAACCCCTTAAAACCATAATGATTCCATTTACAAGGAAAAGACAACAGGAAGCTTGAAAACTCCAATCCTAAATGGGACTCTGATTCCATTTTCCAAGGAGGCAAAATATCTAGGGATTACACTAGATCAGAGGCTCATGTGGAACCCACATCTAGAGAAAACTACCCAAAGAGCAAAAATTGCCTGGGGGAGGTGCCCCTGTGCCAAGAACTGGGGTCTAAACCCCAAAATGACCCTATGGCTATACAACTGTGCTGTAAGACCAATGTTGACATATGGGTTGGTGGTATGGTGGACCAAAACTCTTCAGGCCAAAGCAATAAGGCTGCTAAGTGGCACCAAAAGACAAGTGTGTCTCAGTGTCAATGAGCACAACGCCAACTGCGGTCCTGGAAGTTTCGTAAAACCTCCCACCACTTCATATTTTAATCCAAGGAGAAGCCAGAGCAGTAGCCCACAGGATCATAAATGGACAACCATATGCTAGGATAGGTCATGTGAATAAACATTGGAAACTGAGGGAGGAGATACTGGCAAATGCCATTCTAGGTATGCCAACTGATGCCACTGCTCCAAAGTACAAAGTACTGATACCAGAACGGGAAGAATGGGCCAAGGGAACACCACTAAAGGCAAATTCCTACAAGTATACTGATGGCTCCAAACCCAACAACGGTACGGGAGCTGAGGTTATTGGGATGACCCCCAAGACAAAACTGGCGGTAAATCTAGGCAAGTATGCTACAGTTTTCCAGTCTGAAATCATAGCGATCAAACAATGTGCCAGAGAAATAAAAAGGCTAGGAATACATTCCCGGAAGATAGCCATTTTCTTTGACAGCCAGGCAGCTCTCAGGGCCTTAGCCTCATGCAAGGTGAGTGTTTGGAAATGCATTGAGGCCCTGACGGAAGTCGGTAACACTAATGACCTGACCCTGGCATGGGCACATTCAGGGCATAGAGGCAATGTAAAGGTTGACATGCTGGCCAAAAAGGGAGCCAACATGGACTCTATGGGCCCAGAACCCTATTGCAGCCTAGTAGCCTGCCACAAAAAAGGATAAATCTAAAAAATGGATTCTTAATGAGTCCTAAACCTGGTGGAACAATACCGTAGGTATGAGGCATGTGAAGACCTTTACCTTTGAGTGAGTTTCAATGCCTTAACCGTTGTGGCCACTGATGCCCCCATGAAATATTAGTTATATTGAATTTTATAAAAGCTGTGAACTATAGAAAATTTTCTTAATTTGTTAATTAATTATTGATATTTACTTTCTGTATGAATACTTTCACAAATGTTAATTTTATAAGTTTCATTTTGTCAAGTTAGTCGGTATTAATTATTTCTTTGCCAAAAGGTTTATATAATTTGTAAATGACCTCAAGATAATAAATGATACATTTTATAGTGACCTTGAAAATCGCAAACTCAAAATTAGATGGTCTCATTAATAATTAATTTAAATTAATATATAATTAATAAATAATTGTGATCTCAATTTTATAATCGTATCTTTTTTTTTTATTTGGGTAAATATATTTTACTTACATATTGTATCTGTTCAATTAAAAATGTGCCCAATTTTTGTTGTTTTAAAGTACAAAACTTAATTGCAACTTGTATGGTTGATATAGTAAGGTTTTTTTAATCATAAACTTAAGGTAAACACTACATTCTAGAGAATACATTAATAAAAAGATCATTACATTGAATAAACGAAAAAAAATTGTACTTATTTAAAATCACATGTTGATTGTCTTTTATAATTAAATTTATTAACAATATACTAAAAATATTTTGTATTGTGTGTCTATTAACATACAAATAGATTAAATATTGTTTAAAGTTTATTTATAATAGATAGACACAAATGTGAGGACTACAAAATTTTATGTATATATAATTGAGTTAATAGAAGATATGTACGATATATAATACTGAGTTCAATTGAAATTTGTAAGTATAAATATATTTGTTTTCATCAACTAGCTAATAATTGAATTTTATAATCATAGGTAAAAAGTAAAAAAAGGGATAAGGTTGTGAAAAAAATTTGGTACTTTCTTGCAATTTTATAAGAACCTTCATATACATTCTCAAATTTTTAACAAAAAGTTGAACACGATGTTAACATTTTATGTAATAATCAAAAGTTAGGCAAGAAACTCTATCCCCTTTTTTACCCACTGGCTACTATGAGGTCATGTCAGTATTTAAAATGAAAATAATTAAAAATCATTCGGCAAATGGAAACAGTAGGAAACAAGCAGTATTACATCACATTAGTTTATTTTTTAATCTTAATAATTGTTTAAGGTTCACAACATTTACATTATTTCATCATTGATTATTTAACTTAATTCTTCTAAACATTTTATACCTTAAAAGTAATTTCTTTTAAACGCAACATTTGTGTAACAACTTAGCAATTAACTCACTCTCTGGTTTTAATAAACTAACATATAATTTTTTTTAAAATTTAAAATAAAAACTTAAAGATAACATACCCTTTGTTACGGTTTTAAACCGGTAAGTTTTAAATTTTTATGGCACGTACTTTTTTTAAAATAAATTTTTTATAACGTTTACAAGAGATTTTTTTTGTTCTGCTCTTAGCAGAAAAAACAATATAAAATTAAATAAAAAATAACAACTGGCGGTCGCCCACCGAAAGTTTCATGATTTATAGTGTTGACCCCACTGCATGTTGTCTTCTATTAATATTTATTTTTGGAAAATTATATTTATGTTATCATTCATTTTTATTGTCTAAAATTCTTAGGTTCGGTTATTTGTCACCGGCGCTACTTTTTCAAGTTCCTTTTTGCTCAGATGTGCCACTATCCCAGCACCGAGGGAATCACCTATGACGTTAATTGACGTTCTAAAACGATCCCTGAAAATGTTATCCGTTAATAAAAAAATGTCAATGCATATGCTTTTAATTTTAGTTACTCACAAAAGCCAATCAACAGCAAAAATTAAGGTGACATCTTCTGCCGGAAGGCCCACTGTATCCAATACCATGACCATGGTAACGAGGCCAGCCTGTGGTATACTCGCTGCTCCAATACTCGCCATTGTAGATGATATGCTGTATGAATAACAAACTTTTTACTTAGATTTAGTAATTCAATATACATACCTATAATTTATATATAAAATTTGGAGGTGTGAATTTTTAAAAAAGTGTCTTAAATCAATTTTTAGGAATGAAAATAGCATTAGATTTAAAAACTAGGTTTCCTTTCATAATTATGAAAAGTATAAATTTAAATTATGATCAAATATTATTATTATTAATTTTTAAGGGCATTTTAACGGCTTAGGTCATTTCATGCCCTAACATCTCAAACCTTCTATCTTAGTTTAGCTATATCCCTTCTGAGTGCTATAAAGCTCTGACTCCAAACATTCACTCATAAACTAATTTATCCTCTTAAAATTCTTAATTTGGAAGGCCAAATGTATGCAAAAATCACATTTTAAATTACATATAAAATTTATTTTATTTTTTTTTTTATTTTTTTTTTTTTTTACATTAGAATTCTGAATTTGTGTTCCATAATTTAAACATTTCCCATAGGCTTGTATGGCTAATAATAATAATGGAGTCAGACTAGCAACAGTCTCAGCATGAGCATAGGCTCATCTTTATCATTTTATTCTTCCATTCAAATGTGATAAATAAACTAATTCTACATAAAGATAATAAGAAACAAAACACAATAACACTTCTTTTTTTCATCCTTTTTTTTTTTTTTTTTTTTTTTTTTTTTTTTTTTTTTTTTTTTTTTTTTTTTTTTTTTTTTTTTGAGGGAGCTATCTTTCTTATTTAAATTGCAATTTTTGGCATTGCAGTTTATTAGCCCGCAATTTGTAGTTTCTTCCATTTCATTTTTACGCTCCGGCAGCCTCAAAATGATCAAATATTATTTTTAACTTTGCTATTAAATCGATTAATTATTTTTTTTATCTAAGGTCTGGTTGAGATGAAAAAGTTAGTGTCGCAAGCGGGATTCGAACCCACGACCTTCGGCTCAATACGCCGCTGCTTAACCGCTTGACCTATTGTGGACTTCAACTTGGACTCCAACTCCTCATTTCAACCTACAACCTTTCAAATTTTTCCTCTTTTTGCCATTTTTGTAATTAAAGTAAAGCAATTCCTGTCATACAGAAGGGCTTAACAAGGACAGGCAAGGGGTCATACCTCTTTACATTTTTTCTCCATATTATTCACAATTAAAATCCATGCTGGGATTCGAACCCAGGACAGCATGGCGAATAAAGAGTTGGATGCCCTAACCACTTGACCACCTTGGTCCCGTTAGGTTTGCTGTTAAATTAAAGTCATGGCTAGACACATCTGCTGAAGGTTGATAGTGAAAACTCTACCTTCAAATAGTTCAACAGTTCTACACATAAGGCAATAATTAATTCAATTTTAGTAGAGATAAGGTGCCTTTTGTTTCATATAAAGATTATTTTATTGTATTATTCAGCAATTGGCTTCCTTTTGTTTCAGCTAGTTTTATCACTTTTTATACGTCAGCTGTATACAGCAGTTAAATTTAAAAAATTATTACTATTAAAATTATTATTAAATTATTAAAAAAATTATCTGAGTTTGCATGAAGCAGATGCATATCAAGAAAATTTCCTAATATATTTTACTTATTAAGGTTAACCAAGTTTTAATGCAAGAATACATCATTATACCCACATGCATATCTCATGAAAAATATAGTTACATGAAAACTTGTGGAAGTTATAACATGAATATAATATATTGATACAATTTATCCACCTGGACTAAATAAAAATTCTTTCTATATATTTATCCCTGTATTGTACACAGTATAAGATGTATGCACACGTCAACAAATGATTTATGTAATTAATACCTGACTGCTATAATTTGCCCAAGGGATAGTGAATAGTTCCTGACTTGAGAGATGAATATAACAGCGACGGCTTCATACAGCGCAGTTCCATCCATATTGACAGTGGCCCCGATTGGCATGACGAATCTTGTTACCCTGGGGTCGATATTGTTCTTTTCCTCGAGGCAACTCATCGAGACTGACAAAGAGGCAGAGCTGGAACGTATTTGTCAGATAATTGTATTCGCATTTATAGAAAATATTATACCTTGAGCCAGTCGCAAAAGCTGTGACGATAGCCTGACTCATATTCGTTAGAAATTTAAATGGCAGTTTCCTCGTCCCCAAGAAATAAATTGCTGGCAATGTTATGAAGCCGTGCACAAACAGACCGATTATGACTGTCAAGAAGTATAAACCCAGCTGGCCTATCATAGCCGCAAAACTTTCAGCTTCAACCATTTTACCCGCAATTAAGAAAAACACACCAACAGGTGACAACCTAGAATAATTAAAAACTTTTATTAATACAGGTTAAGCAAAAGCAAATAAACAATTTTTATTAACCATATGACCCAGTTTGTAATCAACATCATGGATTCTCCAAGGGATGAGTAAAACTTAAGCAAAGGTTTACCGACGTTTCCCAGTTGACCAATTGCGATACCTTGGACGACAGCAAAAATAACCAGCCCAAGTACATTTGAATTGTTGGTATACTCATACGTGATAGGCCATAATTTGGTATCTAAACAAAATTTATCCCTAAGTCTGGTATGACAAAAGTTATGCTTGAATTTTATCGAGCAATTAAATTTTATAAAATAAACTTACCATTGTTATCAGGTAAAATGTGTTCTGGTGGAATAATTAAAGTTCGGTACTGAAAAAATATCAGCATTTATTACATCAAATACAACATACTACATTTTGTGTGTGTGTGTGTGTGTGTGTTTTTGGAATATAGCTATCTTTACACATCTTCAGTGCTTGGTTTTATACTATTATGGGTATAACATTACAAAAAAACCCTAGATGCCCAAATTTTAAAATGCATTTGACATATTAGTAAAGAAAAAATAGACGAAAAAAGTTTCATCAGTTAGCCTTACCAAAATGTATTTTGATTACATGAAAATTTTATTTGTGTAAGATTGCCAAAATGACATTGACAATGACAACGTATAAAGAACATGGAACTTGTTATGAGGAAAATAAAACGTTGATTAGAAACATCTATCTACTGGATGGTTATAACTAGAGCCCAGATTTATACACAATAAAAATCCTCAAATATGCATTTAAGATCCACTAAAAAAAACCTAAAAAATATGCAATATTATACTAACAAACCTTCAGATATGTCATATGCACTAAAAATGTTAACATATGCAGGATACCTGATTAATAATTAACTTTTTTTTATACTAGACATTTTTTGGTTTAGTACATATTCATTTTGAAAGGAAATAGAACAGAAAAGTTTCAGTGTCACAACAAAATCAAATAATTTAAAATATTGTACAAAATAAATAATTTAGTTTAAGTTCATGATCTGAACTAAATTGACAATAATATACATTTCAAAGTTAGTTTCTGTAAAACTACAGCGTTTATCTCTCAAAAAATATTTGTGCTTTGAAAAAATCTTTTCAACGTTGACAGAGGTAATGGGAGCAGACTTGTGTACTTCCTGCAGAACAAGTTGCTTACATTTAAGATTTCAGTCAATCTGGTATTTTTGACAAGGATGCTTTTTAATTTAATTTGTAATATAATTAAAAGAGGATTGACGTTGATTATTTTTGTGTTTCGAATGGGGCCTCTATTTCATTCCACAACCTGACTACTTAAGAAATATTAATTTTTCAAGAAAGGAAAAAAACTGCACCGTGAAGTTTTGGAAATGCCAATTATTTCGTTTGCTCCTGGAAAGTTAATGGAAGTCCAAATCAAATTTTAGGTACTTGTCTTTTTCTTCTCATGCTCTTTAGTTTCCTGGTTTATTTTTCTAAGTAATCAAAAATTATTAAAATGTGTAATGTTATTCAAAAATGCAAATTTCAATATTCTTCAAATATGAAAAAATATGCAGGATAAAATTAGAACCAGTGTACCACGGAGGCATGATTTGGATAAAATCACCACGGTTGTAAATGTTTACAAAAAATATGAGATTGACTAAAAATCTAGGCTGTAGTTATAACAATTAATAAATATAAATGTTAAAAATAAAAGCAGATATCAGAGACATAAAAAAAGCTTTTATATTATAACACAGAAAGTAATAAGGACATCAGGTAATTTGTAAAGATACTAAGAATCAAGATGTAGAGATATTGTGTAAAACGTATCAACAGTGTATAACAAATGAAATAATTATCTCAATATAATTGGTATCAGCCTTTAATATTGTAATTTTTAATTAAAAAACAGTGATAGGTCAATTTGAAAAAAGAAAGAAAAACACTGTTTCTTTGTAAAACATTTGAAGATTAAACACCCTTCATCTGAAGTTTAAAACTATTATTATTAATTCATAAGTTTAACAAAAATGAACATCTTACGATACTGAAACTTATATTGAATTTCTGAGTTGATAGCGGAACACGATCTACAACCCTCCATTCTAAATCAGAATCTATTTACTATCACTGTTTCAATTATGCCATGCAAATTGAAAAAAGTTTATTAAATCATTTTTTCCTAAGATATATTTTTCTTTTCATAGATTATGAAAAAAAATTAATTATACAGAGAATTATATTTTACAGTATTTTTGGCAAACTGAAAATGTTTGTTTACATATAGTTATAGTTTTGAGTGTGATAATTTTTTCGTTAATTAGTTATTAGCTATTAAAGCTATTAAAGAACTAAACTTCCAATGAAAGCTCCTGTCTTAAAGAAAGGTAGAAGTTATTAGGAAACTATATTTATTATATAGTTATTGGTATCATTTGGCAATATTTTTGGAAAATAATTCACGCAAAAGTTCTGAAATGTGATTTTTAACGTTCAAAACCATTTCTTACATGTTTTCTAGCGGAAAATTACCGCACAGCCATTGACGAAAATGAAGATGATCCAGGAGAAAATCAATTTATATTTAGATTGGCAAGCCGCCCTCAGCAGTGTCGAGAATTAATGACTTCCGGGTAGGTCGTCCTTCTAACACTTCTTCCTTGGACCTAGTAATTACGATTCAGCGGATTTCGATTTTTAAAGTCTTCGTGCTTAACTGCTCGTCCAGACTCAATGTCAATGTAAAAAAAGAGATCAGACAAGCATCCTATTAGAAAACAAGTTCTACTTCGGAGAAAGTGAACAGGATTATCTGTGTTAAATTCTTGGGTAGGAGGGTAGTCAAACTAAAACATATGTACATCCAAAACGAAAAAATAAAGTCTAAAGTCTCAAAAGACTCGTTTAGTAAATATAATTTATTTATAAAGTAGGGAGATTTTAGCATTTAGGATTTTTTTCTTCCCCAGATGCATTTTTACTTACTTAAAATTTCTTCCACGCAAATATCTAAAATTGATCAAGAAATTTAGAACCGTAATCGTTAGTTGAAAAACGTCGAAAACTGGTTTACAATTACTTTGGGTGGACGATACATCGGAAAAATAAAAAAGCAATTAGACCTAAATAATGGCCAAGCTTTGAAAAGCTAGACGGAAAACTTTTCGATTTGGCGAAATTCAGTAGAGACCCGACGATTCAAACCCATAAAAATAAATCAAAACGAATTAAGTCCATTTCCGGACAAAGCAGGTTTATCCGGCGTCCTATAATGTATTAAAGATAGACGTGCTCGACCTACATATGTATAAAAAATTAACTTTAGTTTGGGGTAAAATAACGACGTCAAAAATTTGGTTGGGAGAGGCCCAATTAAATATTTGTACGGAATGTCAATTTAGGATCGTATTTGAAAAATTCGTATTTGAATTAGCCTGGAGCATTGTGTTTTCTAACGGGAATTAAATCAGACTTGACACCAGGAAGATTTCCTAAGTTATTTGCCTTATTAATCACAGGAATATAATAATTTACCAGGTCTTAACTCAAGAATAACAAAGTGCAACAAAGATTTATGAGAATACTAAAGTTACATGGAATTCTTCTACCTAAAACTGCACCAAATATCTAGACCGCATAAAAGAGAAATTTTATCTGGTTTACCAGACTATTGACCTAAAAAACAACCTCAACAGGTTTATTCGATGCTATTAATTATAAATTGGATGAAATAGTTTCGCGTAAAAAATTAGATATTTGTATTTTTGTATAAATTACGTATACAATAGGCTTATTCGTTAAAAAATTAATTTACCAGGTGTATATAAATTTTATTTACAAGTTTGTCCAAAAGCCTTCTAGCTACGATCATATTTAGTTTGGTCGTTTCCGATCATTTTTTTGTTCTTCCTTTATTCATTGTTTTGTCAGATGTTAATCGGCCGCTAGCTATCCTTAGTGAAGGCCAATCAGAAAGGATGGCCAGACTAAAAAACTGCTGTCAAGCTTCATGGAATGTGAAAGTTGCTTTCCATGTTTAACCAAGTAAATGAATTTTTCATGCATTAATGAAAAAATCAAACTTGTATTTTTGTGGGAACTTTGTGATCTGAATTGTGGCGAATCCGTGGTTTGATCGCTTCCGATCATTTCATCTGACTGCTTTCGATGTTGTTTTGCGTTTCCGCAACTCGCCTCTTCAGTGATCAGAGATAGTGCCTCACCCTGCTTATAACCCTGATGTACCACTCATGATGGCGATATGCCAAAACGCATCTGGCAGACGAAAACAGCAAGGATATGCAGAACAAGAGTTCGTCCTCACCGACTTCGAGAAGAAATCTTACAACCAAACCACCTTGTTATCCATCATTTTATGGATTCTACAATTTTTTTTCTATTGACCGATCGTTTCTGACCAGCTTGGACTGATATCCCAGGATGATAGGGGACTAGAATGATCAGAAAGGACCGAGCTACAGGTTCGTCCTCACCGACTTCGAGAAGAAATCTTACAACCAAACCAATTTTTTTTTCTTTTTTTTTGCCGGCTCACAGGCCGGCGCCCCACATCGCCTGCTCACATTTGTCTTCTTTGCTATCTTATCTTTTCTGAGTCTTCTTATGCCCACCTAATAGGAGATTCGTTATCTTGTTTGTTGTTACCCTCCCACACGTGATAAATTAAAATCACACTAATAAATACATTCAAACGGTATTTAAAAAATTCCACTCATACACTAAACTATCCTAATCTAAATTGTTTGACGGGCCTGTGGAGTACTCGTTATTCTTCGACAGCCATGTCCTTTCACGCATTACCAATCACGCTAATAAATACATTCATTCAGGACAGGCCACTACACCTCGGAAGATAGTACCAACGAAATGCCAATGACCCGTCCCCCGTACTTGATATTCCGTCACAGCCACACCCAAGCATACTTAGACATTCACGCAAATAAATACATTCTTACAAATAGGGGGGATATACCACGTGTATATAGCCATACGCATTGATTAATTTTAGGTAATCAGTGACCTTTCGTTTATAATTTCTGTTGTGCTTTTAAGTACTTTTGTTATGTCATTGGGAAGGCCACATTGCGGCGCTAGTTGTTCGCATTCTTCTAAAATATGTCTTACTGTTACAGTTGCGCCGCACATGGGGCATTTCCTCGGTATCTTGCCGATGAGATGTCCATGTGTTAGGCGGGTATGGCCTATCCTTAATCGTGTAAGTACAATTCTTTCTTTCTGAAAATTTCATGGATTTCAGGTTTGACTGTCGGTTTTATCACCTTTAGTTTTTCATTCAGGGCGTTCCATCTGTTTTGCCATTCATTCCAGCTTAATTGTTTCAAGGAATTTTTAATATCCGCCGGTCTAACCAGAGTGTCCGGGTCATGCGGCATTTTCGATGCTTCTTTCGCCGCTTTGTCGGCCTCTTCGTTTCCTTTAAGGCCGACGTGACCCGGAATCCAGAGGAAGATAATTTCGCACTTATTTTCTGCTAATATATTCACGTTTTTATAAACTGTTCACACTAATGGGTTCACAGAAATTTTTTTTTGTATGGCTGAAACTGCACTTAAGGAATCTGTGCAAACTGCGAATTTTTTATCCGGCAGGTTAATATCTTGTCTTAGTGCAGATGATATGGCGGTCATTTATGCTGTGTATATGCTGGCCGTACTCGGGAGAGCGATCTGTATGCTGCGTTCCTGTATATAAATCCCGCAGCCTACCCCACCGGCGCTTTTCGGTCCGTCAGTAAATATAAAAAGTGCACAACAAAATTCTTCTTTTAAAGATGAGAACATTGATTTATACACGTAAGAGGGGGGTCTCCTCCTTTTTCTTCATTGCCATATCGATCTGAACAATGGGTGATGGAAGCGTCCACGGATCCATTTTTGGTTCGATGACCGGTAGGACATTATCCATGCTCGCACTCCTCGAAGTTATTAGTTCTTGCAACCTTACACCCATCGGTCTTGTACGGGTCCTCATCCGAGCGTACTCACCTGCCTTATTTTCGTTGTATAACACCCGGTGGAGGAAATGAGAAGGTCTCGCCCATATGCTTCCACAATAGCTCAGCATGAGTTGATTTCTCTTTTCACCGGGAGGTAACACACCGGCCTCAACGCATAGACAATTGATAGGGCTTGTTCTAAAGGTTCCAGTTGCAATCCTTAAGCCTGCAATATACACTTTATCCAATAATTTTAACCTGTTTTTCCTAGCCGAGGAATAGACCATGCAGCCATAGTTTAGTTTAGAGAACAACAGTGATTTAAATATCATCAGCAGAACTTCTCTTGTTGCTCCCCATTTACAGTTGTTTAACAATTTCATTATATTCAGGGTTTTCTTGCTTCGGGATGCTGTGTAATCTATGTGCAGTTGCCAGCTTAATTTGGAGACAAATAACGGCCGAGGTATTTTATTGATTCAACATACTCCAAAGACTGTCCGTTCATTGTTAAAAGGGGGGTGTATGTTCCCTCCTCTGTCTGCAGAAATGCACGACTTTTGTTTTAGACCTGGAGAATGTAAACCCAACCAACGTTCGCGGCCTGTGTGACAACCGTATCTATTGCCTCTTGTATTTTCACCCCGATATCGTCAACATCTGTTCCGCTTGGGAGAATATTTAGATTGTCAACGGATAGTGATTTAATGAGAGGTGATCTTATTTTGTCGGCTATATTATTTACAGCTATCCCGAAGAGGGTTACGAAAAGGACCTGGGAGATTCCATTTGCTTGAGTATATTCTTTCGATAGAGTTGTTCCTAATCGTACTCTAAATTTTCTTTCGTTGAGAAAGTTTTTAATAAATTTGATGATTTTCCCCCTAAGCCCCCATTTATAACATTTTCTTATAATTCCGTTCTCCACGTTGTATCATAGGCCTTCTCTAAGTCAAAGAATACAGCAGTGTTCTCTTTTTAGGAATGCTCCTTGTACTGCATCCTCGAGAAGGCCTGCCTGATCGACAGCTGAGTAGCCCCGTCGGAACCCAGCTTGATAAGAGCTGGAGTCCTTTGTATTCCAGGTACCACACCAGCCGCCGATTTACTATTCCTTCCATTATTTTACCGACACACGATGTGAGAGATATTGGCCGGTAGCTTTCAGGGGCGCTAAGATCTTTTCCGGCTTTATGAATTGGCATAACGATAGCGGTTTTCCAATTATTCGGGTATACTCCTGAAGTCCAAATTTCATTATACAGGCATCTAACTTTCGCGGCACTCGGCAAATTTCTTAGCATCGCGTTCGGAATACCGTCCTGACCATGACATTTTTCATTTGATTTAATTAAAGCAGAATCTAACTCCGCATCGTGAGATCATCATTAATCCTTTCCGTAATATCGCTTTCTAAATTTAAAAATTCCGATTGCTCTATCCTTACTTTTTCTCTTCGAAAATTTTCTGAGTAAGACCAATCGCTAGAAATTTCCGCATAATATGATGCGAACAATCGGCAACTTCTTTAGTTTCAGTGATGGTTGTAACCAGTTATTTGTAGGATAGGTATAGTTGGGGTTTATGCTTACCGATTAAGTTGCTCACTCTTTTCCAAATTTCTTTGTTTGACATACTACTGTCCATTTCTGATACATAATTCGGAAGCGTTTTCCTTTTGGCGTCATACAGAATTCTTCTTTCCTTAGATCGGGCTATTTTGAATTTCATTAGGTTTTCTTCTGTGGGGAATCTATCGAATAGTTTGAGAGTCAGCTTTTTTTTTCGATATTGGACGCTTGGCACATGCCGTTCCACCAGGGAACTCTATGGCGTTTTATTGAGCCCCGTTTCCGGCACTGATTCGGCCGCGGCAGCCTTAATCGCTGCAGTTACATGTTCAACATCGATGTTTACGTCGCCTGCCGTTGTTGGAAAGGTGTCAGCTGCGGAGTAGGCAGACCAGTTAGCTTTTATCATATTGTATCGTTTATAATACACATATTTTTCTAAACAGATAGAGCTACGGATGAATATGGGTAGGTGGTCGCTGAAATAGAAATCTCCTGCTGTGTCCCACTGTACATCGGGAACAAGAGATGGAGAGGCAAATGTTAAGTCAATTACACTGTAATTTCCAGAATGGATATTTATATGCGTAGGTTTTCCAGAGTTCAACAATATCAAGTTTGTATTATCTATTATTGCTTCTAATTGTGTACGGTTTTACTAGAGCCCCACCAAATATTGTGCGCATTAAAATCCCCAGTAAGGAGGACTGGGTGGGGCAGTGCATTGATTATTCCGTCAATATCGTCCTTGTGCCAATCCCTATTTGGTAAATACATTGAGCATATAGTCTATATATTTGGGCGCTTTGATTCTTATTGCTACTGCCTGTACATTATCGTTGTTGATCTGTACTTAGTTCGCTGAGATCTTTTCTCTGATGTAGATAGCAACCCCTCCCCCCTAGCCGACTGCTACGCCCCGGCTGTAGGACCTATAACCTCTAAGGGGATATTGATCGTCGGGACAGATGTGGGTTTCCTGTAGAGAGAGGGCTACAGGTGATCTTTCGATTATAATTCTTTTCAATCCTTCGATATGGCATTTTCCTCTCAAGTTCCACTGTAAAATTGTACCATTCATTTGGAGTTAGGTTTTTCTCTTGCTGATCTTCATTCTTGGGGGGCTTTCGGGGTTTGCCTTTGGGCCATCCCTTCTTTTTTTTCTTTCTTTGGTAGCAAAATCATCTTCTTTGTTTGATTCTGCTGAAGTATCAAATGTCTTCGATCTACCACTCCTCGTTTCCCAATCCATAATCCCGTAAATTTGAACATTCAGTTCATCCGAGGCTGCTGTGGAAGTGGACTCGATGTTAGAGGGACGAGGAGGATGACCCGTATTCGGGTCTATGGGGTTTGGTGTTGATATTGGGACGCCCTCAACCACCTTGGCTAAAGTGGTGGGGCTGTCAGTAATAAAGCCCCTCTGGTGGTTGAAGCATTATTGGAAATGCCTAGTGCCCCAGGGGTGTTAAGAGAAGGGGCGTGTGGTTTATCACTATCCCTTCTTTGGTAGTCGTCACTCGCTTGTGCTGATAGGGTGGCTGTACTTGGAGTTAAATTCCGAAATTGAAATACTGGAGTCTCCTCAGTTTGGATGGAAATCTCCACTGTTCTTTTTATAGTCGCTGCGGAAGCCGCAACTTTTGCAAAACTTATATTTCATTTCACAAATCCTGGGCTTCTTACTAACATTCTTGATTGTATATAGTTCATTCCCTTTTCCACTTTTATTCTTTCGATTTGTCTCCCTTCTTGCAAAATAGGACATTCACTAGATCTCGCATGGTGGTTCCTCATACAATTGGCACATATTGGTTTGTCTAAACAGGGCTGTTCCTCATGCACCTGGGAGTCACACGAACATAAGCTTACTTCTGATTTACATCGCATCGCTGTTTCCCAAAGCGAAGACATTTGTAACAACGCATAGGTGCTGGGACATATGGGCGTACTGGGAATGTTTGATAGATAGCTTTTACGCTTTTTGGAAGTGTAGTGGTGTTAAACGTCAGAACGAGCGAGGTCGTGTCGATGAGACCTCGCTCTGTTTTTCGTCTACTTCCAACACTCCTTGATCACGGAATTCTCCCTTAATTTCCACCTCAGGGCAGATCAGCAGATCTCGTGCCGAGATCACTCCCTGGGAGGTACTGAGTTTTCTGTGGGGCGTGGTGGTGACGGGAATATTTCCTAACTTTATTGTCTCATTTAGTATTTTGGCATGGAGCGCATTATCAATTTCAATTAGTAGAATGCCAGCTGCGGTTTTTTGTCACATTCACTACCTTTCCAAGTTGGGTTGTTATAATCCTGCATAGTTTGATGGGTGATTCATTTTTAAAATCTCCTTCAACTTTACACATTACCCAATATTTTGCAAATTTTCTTTCTGAAACAAAATTATCTATTACATTTCCTTCTATATTCACTCTTTTTCTTTTTCTCATGGCTGCCGGGTAGTACAGCGCCATAGTTTTCACAAACGAAAGTCCTTTATCAGTCCTCCTTGTGGTAGCCTCTGGTCGGGTGGTGCCACTCGCCTCACCAACTTCGACGGGATCCAGTGGATAAGCATGTGGATGATCCCTATCCACAGGCTCACCGGGATTGTGGCCTTCCGGGTCTACTGCCTTATTTAATGGAATCGAAGCCAGCTAATTTTCAGGGTGGTAGGTGGCTATCCAGTCACCCCTAGTCGGCCAGTGCGGTTGCCACTAAAGTAGACCGACGTACCTCCCACTCCCTAGATCCTGGGACGCCGAGGATAGGAAAAGAAAGAGATTAGTTTTGGAAAAGGGTGGTTACAGGAGTCTTCACTTGGTTGGGGAATTGGTAAAACGATGGGAAGTTAAGGAGGCCATCAGGTACCGGAGGAGTATATGGACGCAGTTTAACCTCATGCCCGGGAGGGCCATCTTGTTATCCATCATTTTATGGATCCTACAATTTTTTTTTCTATTGGCCGATCGTTTCTGAGTTTGCTCTAGGATGATAGGGGACCAGAAAGGACTACAGGTTCATCACCTCGCAGCCTGTGAAAAGAATCCTCACAATAAAACCACTTGTTATCCATCATTTTAAGGATCCTAGAAATTTTATTTCTGTTTTCTATCTAGTTTTCTATCGTCTATTTTATTTTATCTGTTTTTATTATCATCTATGATTCTATTTATTATCATATATTTTTATTTTATCTGTTTTCTATCATCCGATCTGCAGCTATTAAGATGTAAGTGTCAAAAATGATTAGAAAAGACCTAACTGCAGGCTCATCACCCCGCAGGCCTCCATAAGAACATCAAATAATTTTTTCGTATAATTTTTAGGATCTTATAAAATTTATTTTTGTTGATCGATCGTTTCTGATCGGTTTGTTTTAATGTCATAGGATTAAAGGTGATCAGATTGATCAGAAAGTACCAAGCTACAGGTTTATCACCCTGCAGACCTCAAAAACAAATCTTACATTAAAACCATCTTGTTATACATAATTTTTATGTGTTGTTAGTAATTTTATTTTCGGAGTTTTGTCGTTTCCGATCATTCTGCTCTTCCTATCCTGGCATTATAGCTGACCAGAATGATCCGAAAGGACTAAACTGCTGGCTCATCGCCTCGCAGACCTCAGAAATGACATGCTTTATAGATTCAAAGACAAAAGGAAAATTCAACTTACTTGAGAAATGCAACTTTGGATTAAATTTGGAGGAAACATATTCCTGTAAACAAAATAAATGAAAATGTGTAAAACAGTACAAAAATAAATATTAGAAAGGTGTTTGAATGGCGAAATAAACCTTATGAGATCGAGAAGAGTATCTACAGTTGTAACCGGCCTTTTCATCACCTCGGTCGCTGTAGCCGGTCCGAAATCTCCTCCACGACCAGGCTGTATGACCATGACGAGGATGATACCTTCAATAACTGCGATGACAGTCGTGAGGAGGTAGTAGGCTATCGCCCTGCCACCGATCTTCTTCGAGAGGCTCAGATCGAGGGAACCGATCGCCGATGTAATTGAGGAAACTAGAAGTGGAATGATGAGTGCTTTGAGCATCCTCAAAAACAGCTCTCCGGGAAATTGGATGTACATTACTTCTCTGGCGTTCCATCTGAAATTTTGGCATGAATGCACACAATCGTGCAAATGAATAAATCAACAAAAAGGTCCTCCCTACTTTCATAACCCTTGAAAGTGCTATTACTACTATACTACTACTACTATTTATTTAGAAATCGTGAGATGCGGTCTGGTGTGATGTAGGTTTCAGAAAAACATTTTCTTTATCGTGCCAACGTTTCGATCTTTATTGAGATCATCTTCAGGGCTCAAAGTGTTTGTCTTCTGTGTAATTGTGCCATTCTTGCGCGCCGTGTCGAGAGTGCCTCGACACGACACGCAAGAATGGCACAAATTGAAACGTTGGCATGATAAAGAAAATGTTTTTCTGAAACCTACATCACACCAGACCGCATCTCACGATTTCTAAATAAATATCGATTAACGGTCACTAATCACCACACACTACTACTACTACTTATAATTTTGTAATACAATTAATTTCAATGTTTAAATACATTTATATGCCAATGGGAAAACGCGAAAAAGGATATTTTTTGTAATTAAATAATTAAAATTTTGATTTCCTCTTAGGGTTTTCTTGGTGATGTATGTATGTTGTTCATTTTTGATTTTGGTCTACTAATTCTCCCTGTTTTGGTCTGTTAGACGCGTTTCGGCATTTTGCCATCTTAGGTGGTGGGTTTCTGCCTAACGACTGCACAAACACGTACAACAAAGAAAAAATCAAAATGCCAAACCACGTCCGACAGAGCAAAACCAGGATAATTAGATGATCGTAGACGACAAAGTTCATCACTCCCAGACAAACAGTTAAATTCTGCTGATCGAAAACATGAAAGAATGATTATGCATCAAAAAAGAAGAATATAAAGATCGAGTTGCTTATCAAATTTATAACAGCCTTAACAAGGATCAAGCATTATTTCTTTGATGTATATAATCTTCCATTTAGACGTCTTTATTTTTTTAAATTTGTATGTAAACTAGTAATGTAAATTCATCAAGACAACTCTATTGCGTGAGGGACATAATGAAATGGAATCGTAACGACTAATCACAGTGATTAGATCTGTAGACATGGCTATGGCTAAAAAGGCTAATGCCAGGAGGAAAAAACAGTGATTATCTTGAGAATGATATGTTATTAAATGATAAATTTTGATCAAATGAATCATGAAATCTAAATTGGTTTTTTGCATAGCATCTGTACGATTGGTTTTATATTTGCTGATAATATTATGTCTGGAAATGTTTGTGAAAATAATAAACCACTTTACCTATCTGAAGAAGAGAACCTTAATAAAAGGCCGAAGGCAATTCCGCCGATAACGCTGGCCACAGTAAGTATGGGCAAAAGATTCCCTTTGAAGATGGAGAAGAATCGCCTGCAGGCACCACTACTTGCCGGTTCTCGTCGTAAAGGTTCCTCCATCTCAGCCGCCTCCGTTCTATCATAGAGCTGAAAAATAATTTAACAGGTCAGATATATTTTGTTTTATTAGTATGCTTCTTTAGTTTCTTAAACATGCACAACTATTTGTGGAAAAATTCATATGCTAAGAAGCTTTGTTATTTTGTCTGAGACATCGAGGTCATATAGTATAGTGGAGTTTGCCGTCAGAAATTATGTATGAACTTCTGCTTTAAAAAACATTCTATGGACATTGATCTATAATGTTTAACTAGGAAAAAATTTGAAAGAGAAATCATCTTCGACAAGAAACGTTTATTGCTCTAGTAATTTTATTGAGGTTGGCGCAGGACCGATTAAAATTTTCATCCCTGGCCTCAATTATTCGGAATGAGCAACTTTTTAGTTCGGTTTTGCTGGGTATTGAAAACTGGCAAGATAAAAAAATACACTAAGCAGGAAATTCTTAATTACCGCTCATTTCATACACGTGTTGAATAAACATAACGAGAGGCGATGAGGGCTATTAAACAATAAGCTGAACACAAGCAGGAACAATAGGGTCACTGGGATACTGCTCCCCCGGAAACTGAAACAATACTTTTAGATTGATATTCTTTCTCTGACTCGTCAACATCTCAAAATTTCAATATTATTTAAATTACATTTCTACAAACTTCTTAATCAAAGGACGTATTTTTCTTGAATTTTTGATATTACAATTTCCTATGAAAAATAGCCTTCAATACAAGAGAATAATAAAATAAATAAACATGATTTTGTATGTTTCTCGTTTACATTAATATTATGAACGTAATTTGATCGAAACTGACGATCATTTGGTTGTCTATCCACGCTGTCAATCTCAGTCCGTCGCAAATATTCAACCCTTCAGAATAATCTGCCTTGAACAAAATCCTGTGGACAGTTTATTGATCGAAAACCTCCGATTTCCATTGTTTTTCAGCATGAATGCTTAATAAATAATTATTATAATATTGTTGCTGTACAAGTAAAACAAATGTGACTCAAACCGTGTACGCAGTTTCTTTTGAAAATTTAAGACCACTTTGGTTCACTGGGTTTTCTCCTAAAAAAAAAAATCTTATTTGTCTCAAAATAAACTTTCCTCGCAGTATTCGATGGATTCATGTACGAAAGGTGCCTTTTTAAAGTTCTAATAGACTCTTGAGATCCAAAAAAAAAACGGATCTAATGAGAAGCCATCACAAGATTCTAGAAAAAATTAAAATAAATGAGATGGCTATAATGGTACCTGACAAAATAAGAAGAAAATTTAACTTTGATAGACCCAACCAAGTTCATAGATAGCTTAATTCTTTAGAAGAAAGGCCAAGGAAGAGGCCCTAATATGGTATACCGATGGATAAAAGAGGGAGTATGTGTAGGGTAAAGGGGCCGAATCATTCGTCGAAAACACCTTGAACTGGATCCGACTATTTTCAAGTACTTGCGATCCAACTCTGGGCACAGGAGTTGAAAAAAAAAGAAAAGGTGCACGGATACGTCCAGACAGTCAGGCAGCTTTAAAAGCACTACACTAGTCACTAACTAGTCAGGGAATGACTGAATTGCTGAATGGTCCCAGGAAAACCCAACTAAGTTATCTTGAGATGGGGTCCAGGACATTAACGTATACCAACTGGCCAAAGAAGAGCAGACCTCCAAACACTGGAACCGGAAACTAGACGTGAGAGTATGCTAACGTTGGAGTTCGAAAAATGGCTTGAGAGAGAAAAACGCAAGCACTGTACAAAAGCATCAGGAAGACGAAGGAAGTCCTCAAAAAACTATAGGTTCCTGTATGCGGCAATACTCTTTTAACTACCACCAAGATGAGCAAAACGGAGAAAGAATCAAGCCTACTACGTCAATGGAAACCAGAGATTTCGGCACATATCTTTTGGGACTGTGAGGCATTAGCTCATACAGTATTGCAACTTCGTAAAGAAGTTCTCACGCGAAGAAAAGCCAAAAGGAAAGAGGCAAATTATAGTGAAGAAAAGCACATTTCTTGTATGGTCTTAATCATAGGGGTTCTACATAGAATACCCCATACAATAGACCTAGATAGATCTCAGTGGAGAAGAGATTAGAATCCTTACTTGAACCCCCCCCCCAAAAAAAAAAATTCTTCTATAATATTTGAGCAGTTTTATTATATTAATGGGAACTGCAGTGGCCAAGTGATTAGTACGTGTACTATTTGCCATGCTACCGGTTCTGGGTTCGAATCCCGACAAAGGTCATGAAATTTTTTATTAGATTAATTTGAAAAATGTGCTGTAAAGTCTGACCCTTCATTTCACTAACTTAAAGTGCGATTTTATTTGAAGTGAAATAATACAAAAATTCCAATATTTATTGCTTAAATTTTAGGAAGAACGAAGAATACAGCGTCTTAATAATTAAAAATAATATCGCAAAATGTCCTAAAAGTAATAAGATTTTTTGGGAAACCTAACATGATTAAAATTTACTCTGCTAATAGTTTTGTGAATAATCTTAAATCATAGCAAAATCGGGTTAGTCTGGAAGTTTTAGAAACACCCCAAACATAAATAAACCAAATTGTTATTCCTATTAATGATTTTAGTAATTTCAACGTTTGCTTTTTAGGTTTGCTATTTAAGACTTCCAGTAACGGTCAGCCGACTAACACAAATAGAAGGATATTATTAACCCTAGACAAGTCATCCGAAAGAGAAAAAAAAACTTTTGGTTTTCAGATAGTCTAGCTTTGGGTCTGCATATTGCCAAAATCAGTACTTAGAAATGCTTGCCTAACGTGTTCTTTGGCTTCGTTACCAACTCTAAATAAAAATGATAACCATCCAGTATAAACTATTTTAGTTTTACTTTATATGAGTTGGACTTGTGTCAAAAGTCCCAAAGCCAAAAATCTTGTAATTTCTAATAAGATGATTCTTGTAAAGAAAACGACTTGTCAGTTTAATTGGGTTTGATTGTAATAAAATTCGAAATTCAACTGAACCGTAATGGTTTAACGTAGTCCTTTGTCGACTGATAGAATGTTTTCTTGTTCAGTTGCTTAGGGAGTCAAAAAGTATTAACGACACTTGCTTCGAGCTGCAGTCTCATTCTCAATCAACTAAGAAACAAAGCGACGACTTATTAAATCAAAAACTATAAGTTGAAGAGGGCTGGCATTGCGCCTTCAAACGTAACTGAGCTGTTTGAATAAGTTCAGCTGTTCTTATTTAGACAAGTGTATTAAACTGCCTTTTTTAAGAAGACTAATTTATTTTGGTTATTCAGGGTCTATCTTTGTTAAAAAATGTAAAAATTTATAGTTTCTATAGTTCCACTGTTGTACGGTAATCTATTTAGCGTAGAACTGGTGTTTAAATATAATTTATTATGGTTCATAAACAGCTGGCGTACATCAAAAAAATATCAAAGATATCTAATTATTACCAGAATAATAATCTGGTATTTAATGTGGCAGTCTGAAATGTCTACCTTATGATCGATGAATATGAAAAATATTTACTCGTAACTGACAAGAATTGATAAAAACTACATACACGATGCTAATACAATAGGCTCGCATGTTCTTTTTTTGTATTGTTTGATGGAAATCTTTCTTAGATGCCCATTGCAAGTCAAGACACTTCATATCAGACCAATTTGATGTAATCTGTAGTCCTTGAAAATATCTACAAATCTCGCAAGGAGGCTCTTGAATTGTCCGAAGCGAGTAATTCCCATTCTCTCTTCTCTTTCACCCTGTATTTTATGATATCTGATAGTATGGACCTATATCAGCACACTATAAGACAAAAGAGTCTGGGTACTGTCAGCAGTGTGCCAGCTTCGTTGGTTCCCTCTATTCTTGTTTCTAATTTACTGCTGCCAGACAAGATATCTAGATATCTACCATATTTAGTTCGGTCTTGAAATTCAACAGCATCTTCGAGTTGATGACGTCCATAGGCTGTGAACACTTCATTTTGAGAATTCTTCAGTATAAACAGAGTGTACTTTTGACTTTTTTCCTATTCTGGCAAGTCCTGTAAGCAGTAGAGACGATGTTTTACATACATATCCAATTTAGTGGTCTTACACTCTACAGAACCTCTTCGTGCTGACTGATATTCGAGGTAGCTGTACTGATGGCTGCTTATAGACATGTCTTTGATTTCCGTACTCTGCAAAACTTTCCATGACCTCGGTTTGAGATAATGTAATCCATAGGATCTGAATACTCAATTTTGGGAAATCGTGTCTGTGTACCTTCTTGCATCCTAGATCCAACGTCATATAACAGAGTGTACCTCACATCTTTGCATGTCCCAGAATCCACTCTGTTTTGCTCTTATAATTCTTCGAGTTGATGATATTCGAGTACAAACTGCTTATAGTTATGTATTTGATTTTGTAACATTTGTTCAAATTTTATATCCTTTCCATGGATTTTGGTTTGAAATATAAAGATGTACATATTCATCGAGTGCAATACTCTGATGGCTGTTTGTAGCTATTTCTTTGGTTTTTAATCTCATTTTTTCATGGTTTTCGGAAAGATATAGTACATGTTGATGGGGTCTGATTACTTAATTTTGCGAAATCTGCCTGTGTACCTTGTTGCAACTTAAATCCGACGATATTCAGAGTACCTTGCACCTCTCCCTAGAACTTTTTTCTATTCTTGCAAGTATTGGAACCCATTGGCGATTGACTCTGTTTTACATACAAAACATATTTAGTTTGGCCTTACAATTTAACAATTTTTGCACACGTAACTTATTTAATTGGGCTTTAAAATTTAGCAATATCTTGATGGTATTCGAGTAGTGTTCTCTCTGCTTACAGCTATAAGCTTATATCTTTGGTTTTCAATCTCATCTTTCCATGGATTTTGCAAAGATAAAGGTACACATATACTTGGGCGCTGATTATTTAATTTTGGAAACAACTTGTGCATCTTCTTGCTTCCTAGATTGAAATGTACATCCACGGAATGTTCCTTCTTTGACCTGATTACCCGTTCCCATTTCTTTTAG